AATCTTCCAGCCCCCGTGGATGTGAACACCCACTCAAGGTTAGGAGTACTGCAGCTGCAGGAGCTAACAGACCAGGGTTTCTGCTGTCATGCAGGACTTATTGAAGACATTTGTACAGTCCACAGCATTAATAGCCCATGCTGTCAAACACAAACTCACTTATCTGCTAATAAAACTGAAGCCAAATTGAATTTTACAGTCTGAAAGGTTCTAATACAATATGATGTTTCAGTCTGCCTCCTCTTTCCCCAAAATAATACTGCGAAACACAATTAAAGTTTTATATCCTATTTAGCTGAGTGAAAAACACATTCTGTATCCTCATCCCTGGCAAAGCAAAAAAACAACAATGCAGCCATTTTATGCATCAACCTTTTATGATTTTCTCATTTCTCTTGGTGGTCCAAATGGATTGCGCGCATTGCAGAACTATACATAGACACGCTTTCAACTCTCCCTGCTGGCAGCCGACAAAAACAAACACACAGCCGTATCACAGCACATAATATCATGCCCCTGCCATTCCAACATCCAAATGTATTGAATTTCAGCTAATTCTGCTTGTAGGTCTCACATGATAAGAAAGTCTGCAAAGGGCTTAAATATAAAATGTAAATGTAAGATAACACAGCAGATACAAAAATTCAATATTCCTCTTTTTAATGTTTTTTTCCTCTTAATGCTGTCTGATGTGGATATTAAAATGAGGTCAGCCAGGCCTGACGAAGAAATTACATGATTTAATGGCACCCCAGGGGAAGTTTAAATATAGCTCTGCATTATAACTGGCGTCCAACAGCACAGCATGACATGAGTTCATCCATAAACACTTCAATCCTGGATCGTTTTACAGTGATCAAATACTACACGTCAGTGAAGACCTGTCCATCTGTTTTAGCAAACATATTTACTTACAATCAAATATCTCATTATAGGGAAACATGGGTGGGGTTTAGGAAGTGGCAATAAGGCTGCGTGTATGTGATTGGAGGCTGAGGTGCTTTCCCATGCACTGCCACTAGGTGGAGGGACAACCCATATCTCTTGTAGGCAACTGAATAAAACCCTTCTATTTGTGTGAGCATTGTAGACTCTACAAAGTGTTTTATGAACAGACATAACCTTATTTTTAATCTAATAAACATCCAAACAGAAATAAACCCATGAGGCAAATGAATTCACAAGAAAAAAAGAATCAGTCAATCTAACAAAAATATGAATAGAGGTCGATTAAAAACATGCAAGCAGATCAAAAATGGATTAGTATTCATCATGTATTTAAGGAAAGCCCATTTTACAGTACATTCACATGAAAGCAGTGTAGATGGAGACTTCCCACTGGGCGCTGTGGGCAGCTTATTCCCTATATACACCGTTTCACCATTCATCTGTATTCAAGGTGGGAAATCTCTTTCATGGAGGTTTCAAAGTAATTTCCCCATCACAACTTAAAAAGGGAAACCGCATCTAATAATCTTAAATGTAGAGAAGAGAAGCCAGGGTGAGACATACAAGGATCAGTCCTGTTAGGAAATTAAAACATCAATCAATATCAAACAGGAAGCAAATAAAATGAAGTCCAATCTTCAGTCATGTTGAAAAAACATGAAAGACGCTAGCTGAAGTGTAAAATGGAGAATTTCCCTGCGGAGATGATGAGCCTAATTTTGTGATCCTCCTTAAACATTGATCAACTTTGGTCAAACTCACAATGACAGTATGTTTAACAGCGAGATAAAATATGTCTAAAAGTTTGATGCTGGAAAATCCAAATTGCCCAAATGTGCAACTGCATAGAAGAATTAAAAAGAAACATTTGCAAAGCGAAAATGAACAGTGCCATCCAGATTGACATAGCTAATGAATCCTGACAGATGTAGGTTACATCTGGTCCCACTGGTAGAAAACAATCCTGTAGTGAAAGCAGGGAGGCACCAGCCGCTGTGACAGCTCCATTCAGGACTCCAAGCTGAGCTAAGAGGAGGTGAGAGCTGCGGATACCTTTAATTTACTAAGACTGCGGTATGCTACCTTCCACTCAGTCATTCCCTCTATAACAGTTGGATGCAAGCCGACTACTCCAGATTCATGATATGTCCTTTTCTCTCTGCTTCACTCAAACTGCAATACCAATGATCTCCCAGCACTCTTGTCAGCCTTCCTAGTTTACCCTCATGCAAGTGTCAGCCTGCGTTCCCCCCTCCCTCCCTGACAAGTGGTCTTGAGTTATTAGACAACACCAACCCTCATCAGTTAGTGCGAAGTGAGGGCAGCTCTGAAGTGATGGCGGATGACATGTGTCATCCCACAGGGCCTGAGTGTTTTCAGCCAAAACATCACACAATGCATTCAAAGAAGGCCTCATTCTACAAGCTTTGCAATTCAAATGAAGACGTAAAAACTCAAGACACATGTCAAAGAGACAGCACAATTTCCGATTGTGGTGGGTTGGGAAAGCAGGAAATGATGTCTGTCAAATGGTGAATGGTTGTGAGGGATAGAGTCTCGTACCTATAGTGATAAATGATTTGTGTTAAAATGACATGGAGGTGGGAGGGGGGGTATTAGACAGGCTGTAAAATGTCCCATGTGGCAGTTCTTCAATCAAATGTGCTCCCTGTCCAAACACACTCTGGCAGAATAGCCTAACATAAAGTATACAGAGAGTGTATAGCAGATACCTTGATTTAAAATGTTTCCTCTCACAGCTGTTCAGACATGCACATGCATTCCAAACTCTGAGTTTCCCTTAACATTATCACTTGAACTGTCTGCTACTCATATTCTGCCTGTGCACACCCACTGAGAGACATGCTCTCCAAAACAGCAGCAAGTCAGTGTCAATATGTAAAGACATACCCTCATTAAATTTACTGTCACAATACTGCGCATATTCTGACTGACTGTGTACCCACAATCTAAATGCACCACAAGACCACTGAGTAGGCCTTGACCTTTTACTAACAAACAATCTCTTTGTGTTTGCCGAAGGGAAAATCTCAACAACGCAGGCGGGCAACAAAGTGTTGACAGCCTGCATACAGAAGTAAGTTTACAAGGCAATTTTGATTTGACCTATGCCAATAACAGAGTGTCTGATTTATGACACCTCAGTAAATCATCAACCAGGAAGACTAACTGCAGAGACTGCAAATTGGAGCACACCTTCCTGCACTAAACATCTGTGTGCTCTGCAAGAACAATGCCAGAGTGGCTGTAGGGGGTGTACAGTGTATCATTAGGCTGAGCTGGACTGTTACACATAACTGCTTAAAGCTGTGCCCTGAAACATAATCTATTTGGCTGCATGTGGTCAATAAAATGCTCTTATTACTAACTGTGCATTTAGGACAGCAGTCCAGCACAGTGAGCATAAGTTTAAGCCCTCACAATAATAAGCACTGGCCCTCCTGAGGAGTACTTGAGCCAGATTGAGATGCCAACTCAGCCCCGGATGTAGCTGAACCCTCTGACCTGTCAGTGCATAAAGGCAAGATCTATATCAAGAGCTAGAAAAGATCAGTTTTCAGCAAATCTGTGTCAAATTAGGTGTATTAAAGCAGCAGGGTGGTGCAGTGCTTCACGTTGTCACCTCACAGCAAGAGGGTTCCTGGTTCGAACCTGGGCCCAGGGTGATGTAGCCCCTCTATGTGGAGTTTGCATGTTCTCCCTGTGTCAGCGTGGGTTTTTTCCGAGTATTCCAGCTTCCTCCCACAGTCCAAAGGTTAATTGGTGATTCCAAATTGGCCGTAGGTGTGAATGTGAGCATGTCTCTATGCCTCAGCCCTGTGATAGTCTGGCAACCTGTCCAACGTGTAACCCGCCTCTCACCCAGTGTCAGCTGGGATAGGCTCCAGCCCCACCATAACCCCTAACAGGATAAGCAGTTACAGAAAACGAATGAATGAATTAATTAATGTGTATTTAGCCTTGACTTCATTTCTGTCTAAACCATGTTTACTGGATTTTAGTGCATATATAAAAACAATCTGTAATGTGACTGTGAAGATCATCACTTTGAAATCAGGTTACTGTGAGCATCACGTGCACTGCTGATTGTGCATTTTGGTGTGTACTACTACTGTATCACTGGACTAACAATTCACAAAGATAAGATAAGGCTACAATAAATCTAATCTGCAAACAAACCATAAACATCTGCAAACAAACAAGCGTCCTATATTCTCCAACCATGTGTTATTGACCTAAAGGCTTGGCCTAAAATAAGGTAAACAAATGACTATATATAATTTTGTTCAAGTGAAAGTACAAATATGTCAGTGTAAACATCCTTAATTATATATTAAAGTGCTGTATTCACATTCTTACAAAACAGGGACAATAAATAATAACAAAATGTACTTTAAGGATCAAAAGTAAAAGTAAATGTAGGAAAATTGGCCCTGTGAGAACAGTACTATTATATATAATTGTAGAGGTAATACTAGTGCATTAGTTGGAGGAGGTACATTATACTGTTTAGTAGTTCTACAGCACATATTTTTTAAGATGTTTTGTTTGCAAAAATATCTTAATCACAGAATTAACAAGTAGTTAAAGTTGTTTATGTAGCATATAAAGAGTGCAATTTGCTCTAAAATGAAGTACAAAGTAGCATTACAGTAAATGGAAATACTCAAGTAAAATACTCAAAGCTTAGGTATAATGATTGAATAAATGTACTTAGTTACTTAGAATACCTTAACAAGACAAACTGGCAAATTCAAAGATAACACTTAGTTTAAGATGCAAACTAGGTGCTAAGTTTCACAAGTGTCGTTATTGGATAAATTGAAAAAGGAGAAGAGAGAGTTGGCACATTAACAGGATATCGAAACAGTGCAATAACTGAAGGGTGACTTTTTTTTGAAGAACTCCCCAACGCATAGCGATGTTCAAACCCAGCCACAATGGGAGGCTGAACCGAAGCAACAAAAGGAGGAAGTCACCTTTGTAAGTGAAGTAAAGCTCACCGGTGGTTGTATTACCTGACAGTCAAACAGAGGACACAGTCAGTCGCTGCTGCGCGTCAAGGAATATGGCAAAGACTGCGGGTAAAGGCAACTTAAAACCACATTTGAACCAGAATGGCTATAACAGCAGGAGAGAGGTATGTCTGTCAGCGGCTGGATTTACTCACACAAACACGTTTGTGCGCCAGATTATTTCGTGCGTCTGTTTCACGCTTCCTGCGTAAAGTCATATATTTGTTACTATTTCCCTGCAGAGATTGTCTTGAAATTGAGCAGCAGTTACGGGGCTCTTTACCTGATACGACCTCTGTGACGTAGGCAAACTTTGTAACCCATAGAGGCTGCTCACCTGCTGCATATAAACCACCAAAATCACACCACCGCTATACTTAAAGCGTCCCAGGCTATATGCGCGTAAAATAAAGTTGTGCCATTGTGTCTTTTACGGTACCAATAGTTGTGACGTGATATTTAAGCAACCCAAAGCTCAATATGACGCTATTTACATTTTAAATAATTAAAAACTAACTGCATGATCTGCCTGCTGTCGTTCTTATTATAAAAGAATGGTTAGTTCCTCCAAAAAGAACAATGCAAACCAAACAGCAATAAATTAACAAACGACCCCGCCCTGAAACTCTTCCCTGTTGCAACAGCAGGTTTCTTTTGCCTTCAGGCTCAGTCTACAGGTGAGGAAGGTGAAGCCACTTTGTACTTTCGTTTACATTTGTGTTTGTTTACACTTAAGCCTTTTTATTACCTTTTGCCTCATTATGAAAGTTGGGTTACTTAAGTTTGGTGCAGATGTTTGTCTATGCAAATTAAGTCACCTGCTTTGAGGCTAAGATTTTTTTTATGTATAATCCCATACTTTATGGTTGTAATTTAACAATGTAGCATAACACCACTTGTAACGGTTTCACTTAGTCCAACAACTTAAGTTTTTATTTATATGTTTTTTGAATACTTTTAATGCCCGACACTCAAGCGATGGATTTACCTGAAGTCTGATATGACCATTAGCATCATGGTATCAGTTTTTGTGAAAGGAAGCATTAACTGGTGACTTTTCAAACCCTAGTTTAGTTAGTTAGTTACACTAGTTCAACAGCACTTACCACTGTTTTAAGATGCTTCCACAATCCTCTTTTCTGGACAGATAATTAAAAATAATATACTCACTGTGTTACACGAAAAATGATTTTGTTTATCTAAGCTGCAAGTGCTTCACCAAACAAACATGGCAGCCGGAAGTGACATATCTCCTTGGTGCTGCAGATGGTGTCAAACAACTGTGTTACCAAAACTGCAACCAACACAGGTTTATTTTATCAAGGCCAATATTGATGATATTTACATTTTCTAAAGTATAAAGGTATTTATTAATTTTGTCGTTAGAGTCGTTCCAAATAAAGCCTCACTTTTGGCTGCCATCTTTAATTGAAATTTGTGCAAGTTGCATTGTTTCAACAGCTGTTAGTAAAATCTTTTTTATGCTGGTTTATGCAGCTACTTCTGCTTTTCAAAGCAGTGTATTCTCTGTTAACTCTCCTTAAGCATATTTTGACTTTCTTACATTTAGAAAAAGCATGACGCTTTGAGTCCAAATCGGCTTTTCAGTACTGTCATTTATGCTGGTTTATACTGTAGACTCAAATTATCCATTATTGTAAATCATCTTCTTTTTATTCAAATGTGAGCAATGCAAAAATGATCCCATATAGCAGCTTTTACTTGGCGTGACCTTGAATAATATGTGGGTGTCATGGTGGTGGTACCGTGGTTAGCCTTGTCACCTTGCAGCATGAGGGTTCAGCCAGCTGCAGCCCCTCTGTGTGGAGTTTGTATGTTTCTGCAGTCAGCATGGGTTTTCCCCAGTCTCTCTATCTTCCTCCTACAGTCTAAAGACATGCAGGTTAAGTTAATTGTTGACTCTAAATTGTACATAGGTGTGAATGTGAGTGTGATGTGTTGTATGTCTCTTCTCTTTGTGTCAGCCTTGTGATTGACTGGTGACCTGTCCAGGATGTACTGTACTGTACAGTGCTTTGCCTCTTCTCCAGTGTCAGCTGGGATATGCTCCAGCCCCCCGTGGCCATGTAAAGCAGGGGTGTCAAACATATATGGCCCATATGCCAGAGCTGATCCACCAATCCGGCCCACTAGTTGACTTTTTGCACGTGCAATATTGATGCATTTGTGAAGAATAAGAGCTACCAGGTGTCAGGAGCAAGTTAGTTAGTAGCCTGCTTCGTGTAAAATGCTGCTTTAGAGGCTTTTCCAGTCTTACCAGTAAAAAAATGTACTGTGGTCTTAGTTAAAGATATTTAACATTGTGCAAAATATCAACCAGCAGCTTCAGTACAAAGGAATCTGTGTTAAAACAGTATGGGTGGCATATTATTGCTGAAGCACTAGCAAAACATTTGGCAGTTTCTTCAGAGTTTGACACCCCTGCTGTAAAGGATAAGTGGTTACAGATAATGGATGGAATGGAAAGACTGAAAAATATGTGTTAGTGACGTCTGGAAGTGCAGCAGTAGGCCAATACCTCCCTCCTCCTCTCCCATCCCTTTGTTTGAAACCGAGCCACTTTTATTCAAACGGTATTGTTCTCTCTTGTCTTGTCTGCAATGTAAGAGAGCTTATGTGGGCCTCTTGTTGTATAGAAAAATGGCCCAGGGACTGGTGTCGCCTCCAGGCAGCACAGGCACGAGTCCTTTGAACAGGCCCCCATGTACGTGGCTGTCCTGACATACCTGGGCTTTGGCATTGTCACGCTGTTTGGCTACCTCAGAGATTTCCTCAGAGCCGTGGGCTTAGAGAAGTGCCACCTTGCCCAGGAAAGAGTGGAACAGAAGGTACGTAAAATCAGCACAAACATAGGCAAATTGCAGGCATATACACATACTGTAGACGCACGCATGCACTCAGACAGTTTGAATAGGGGAGCATGCACGCCTTGGGTGTCAACACTTTTTGTTTCCCCCTAATTATTTCAATTTTTGCTCTTAAGCTCCCTCTCTGCCTCCTTCCTTCATGTTCCTCTGCACTATAATGTTGCCATGGGTGAGACGGGACACCACAGAGAATATCTGTTGAAGACCTAATTAAATCTCAGAGGATTCAAGTTCTTTCTTCGTTACTGTGCTTCAGATCCTAGATAAGGCCCCAACACTGCCACATGAGAGCCATTGTATTACCATAGATATGATTTCTTAAATCTTAAAAACCACACTCACTGTTAGATAAGTTAGTAGTACTGATTTGTTTTGCGTGGCTCATATTAAAAAAAAAACCTGTAACCTTACAAAAACAAATGCTGTTAGCATGTTTGGTTATTATTTTGATAAGGCAGTGTGTCCATAGGCAGAGACAATAAAGCAGTCTCTCCAAGGAATAACCAGGCAGTTTGCTCCCTGTGTTTGACAACAATCATTTGCAGTGTGAAGTTAAGGTGAGACTGTAATGGTGGTGTCATTGGATCAGACATACAGAGGGGGGGCTAATGAAGGCAAATGCTCAAATAATCTTGGTAAGTAGCATTGTCAGGGGTTCACTGTGTGTGAAAACATACAGGCAGCGTAAAGACCACAGCAGTGTAGATCTGAATCTCCTACCAAGGTAAAAACTGAGAAGGCGGTTTGAATGTTTATGAGGTAATTACAGAAGTCACCTGCCGTGAGTACAAAGGTAGACACAATATAACGAACACCTGTGTGGTCATCAAGAGTTAGGGCATCTCACGTAAATGATATGAAGAGCCCCTATTTACAGGGCAAAGTGCTTTAAGAGGATGGGCAAGGGAATGTGTCGGGTCACAAAACTAAAGCAAATAATGCATAGTTTGTATTTTAATTTCAACATGGTACAACATAGAAACATGGAAGAGATTTGTTTTCCTTACGTCCACCTACTTTGTTGTATTGTTTCACCACTCTGTGACACTCTGGCACTGGCTTACTGTGAAGCTGTTGATGATGCTTCTCTTTGCTCTCAGGCTTTCATACCGCTTTATCAAGATTTTGAGAATTTTTACACTCGAAACTTGTACATGAGGGTACGAGACAACTGGAACCGTCCCATATGCAGCCTGCCGGGACCTGTATTTGACCTGATGGAGAGGGTGTCCGATGACTACAACTGGACCTTTAGGTATTCTCATCCAGTCATCTGTGATATAGTATACTAGACATATTCTAGTATAGGTCTACATACTGCTCAGCTCAAGAATGTTTTAAATGTCAATGCTAAAAAGCTTGTTAGTTTTTAATTTTAGATGTAGTCCATGTGTCATCAGTGAGGACATGTCAGTCCTAAATTCTTTGACACAAGTGAGGCAGCTCTGTGTTGCTCAGCAGGGTCAGGGAATACATAAGAGCCACAGGGAGCGGATGTGACATTATGAATCAGGAAAGAGGGGTAGTCAGGGTGGATTACATGTTTTAAGAGGTTCAACCTGACTGGAAAAAGTAGAAATGGAGCAGTCAGCTTGTCTTCAGTGGTTAAGTTTGGTGATAGGGTAAAGAGGTGTGGTGGCAAAACAACTATTTAATGAACAGTTTAAAGAAAAAGTCTTCACACGTCGACTGTCTTTCTTGAGTTTTAATAAGCGTTCATGAATGGAGTCACACACATGCAACCGCATGAACAGTCAGTCAGTGAGTGAGTGCCTAGATGTTCTTCAGCCATGCTATCTTTATAGTTCCCAAAACACATGCATGTAATAGTCAAAATATGTGGCACTCAGGTGGTTTCTGCAGTAAGCATCCCTAAGACACATCTCTTGAGGCTCACAAGGACACATAGTGTGGGAGCCTCCCTGGCACGTAACCTTTAACCTACTCCCATTAGGCCTCTGCTGTATCTAACACTGCAGTAACACAGTAACACATATCATTAGGTGAGAAGTTCAGTTTCATCAAAACAAGTAACCTTATACAACACATGCAGAACACACTATAGGTTAAAAAGGCTAAAATACCATAATTTTCCATCACAGAGGCATGAGGAACGGTTTGTAGTGGTGTGCAGGTTTACATGCGCAGTCAGAGGAAGTAGGTCAGTTGATGAAATGGAGCAGTTCTCCTAAAATACTGTTAAAACTCTGATGCTAATGCACAGTGAGGCTGTGCACTCTTGACAGACCACATGAACTTACATCAGCTTGCCTTATTGCAAGAAGCTATTACACACCTTCCATCTTTTCCCAATTTGCATGTTTATTTACATATTATAGGGCAGCATAATGAGTTGTGAATATTTGATTATATTCCCAAAAAGAAAATGTCCAAGGAAATTGGAATAATGAATGCCGATACACACGCAGTCACTGCTGTTTACCTTATATACAGTAAACATCGCTATAATTGCTCCTCATGAAATGAACTCCACTGACAAAGAAGCAAGTTCGTGATTAGCAATTTTCTTAATTGAATGTTGATTACTTTTTTAAATATGTAATTAATTCCCTGAGTGTGTGTGTAAGTAGAAAAAAGTAGGAGGCAACAGAAAGTAATTCCTAATGTTTACATGCTTGCAGGTTTACAGGGAGGACCATACCCAATGTCATCAACATGGGCTCTTACAACTACCTCGGTTTTGCTGAGAACAATGCTGATTTCCTGAAAACGGTGGCAGAGACGACACGTCAGTATGGGGTTAGTGTCTGCAGCACAAGGCAGGAAATAGGTGAGTCTGTGGTCAGTGTGCAGTGGTACAGATTTAAAAACTGTGTGGCACTTGTCTTCTTAAAGCTACAGTTCACTACAGAATCAAAAACATACATACTCACCTCTTACCTGTAGTGCTTTTTATCAATCTAGATTGTTTTGGTGTGAGCTGCCAAGGGTTAGAGATATCAGCCGTAGAGATGTCTGCCTTCTCTCCAATATAATGGAACTAGATGGCACTCAGCTTGTGGTGCTCAAAGTGCCAAAAAAATACATTTGAAAAACTCAACAGCAATGTCTCTTTCCAGAAATCATGACCTGGTTACTTAAGATAATCCACAGACCTTGTTGTGAACAGTTTCATGTAGGAACTATTTTCTTTTTACCAAACTACACCTGCCAACCATGTCACCACACAGAAGGAGACGTGCATCTACTCATGCATAAGAGGCTCATGCTTGTGACAGCGCAGGATGTAATCATAAATGGTGTCCCCCTCCACTGAGCTGTAACGTTAGCTACCTCAGTGGTGCCAGGTAAGCTAGCAGTAGATGCATACTTCCTCCTCTGTGGCGATTCAATTGACAGGTGTCGCTTGTAAGACAGAAAATAGTTCCTATGTGAAACCAGTCACAACAAGGTCTGTAGATTAGCAGAATCAGAAATACTTTATTGAGCCCCAGGTTAATTGTAAAACGTTACAGTCTCTCTGATGTATAGCATAGAGAATCATAGGACAGTAGAAATGTATGTAAAAATCTAAAAAGAATTTGCATCATGCTACAGTGTTTGACACTAGTATATAAAATATTTGAAAATATAGAAAATATGTATAATATGATAAGTATGAAATGTGTGTACAAATATGTGCATTATGCAATATTACAATGTATAAAAGCAGTATGGAATTTTTTAAAAATATCTATATTATGCTACAATGTACAACACAATATATACATGAATAGAAATATGAATAAAAAATACTATGAACAATATGTGCATTGTATGCTCATCAGGTGTGTTGTTGGTAAGAATAAATTATTATACTGAAAAGAATATTGCCCAGTTAAATTACTGCATAAATCTCTGTACAGTTAAGACAGTGTTGCACAGACTTATTGTACCTTTAAATCAGTATAATATATATATTGAAATATAATAAATAAATCATGGAATTAGAACTGCTGATGGCTGAATTAAGTCCAAGAGTGTTTGACACACTGAGGGAGGAGTTAAAAAAATTGATGGCTACAGGCAGGAGTGACCCTCTGTGGCACTCTACTGTGCATCTTAGGGGACTCTGGCACTGAATGTACTCCTGTGCTTGACCAGCACATCACTGAGTGGGTGGTAGACACTGTCCAAGATGACCCATAACTCAGACAGCATCTTCCATCTGTCTGACACTGCCACCAGAAAGTCCAGCTCCACCCTCACAATGTTTCTTGCCTTGCCGATGAGTTTGTTGAGTCTGTTGACATCTGCTCCCCTCAACCTGCTGCCCTAGCAAACAACAGCAAACGGGATAGCACAGACTCATTAAACATCCTCTCCATTGTCCAGCAGATGTCGGACGACCTCAGCCTCCTCAGAATCTAGAGGCGGCTCTGACACATGTTTGTTTTGTTTTTTTGCTTTAGTGCTATCGAGCTCCATTATATTGCAGAGAAGGCAAACATCTCTGTGGCCGATATCTCCAACCCTTCGCTAATCACACTAAAATAGTCTAGACTGATGAATAGCACTGCATGTAAGAAAATACGCATTGTTGATTTGGGGGCGAACTATCCCTTTTAAGTTAGTTTCAACAAGGGTATTCATTTTGTCTTGAGTGAAAAAGGTCCACTTCATAATTCAGGTTAAAAGCGCATATGGCAGGGAATGTTTTTTACTTCATCTTTCAGTGCCTCTCATTTCTTACATGTGCATCTATTTTAAAGTCTCTGGCAGACCTTGATGACACTGACTATAAGTTGAGTATCAAACTGGAAATAAAACTCCATCTCCCTCATCACATATGCCACGATTTATTATCTTTCTCATGAGTTATACTGCCCGCATGTTTAATTATCTTCCAGTGGCTGCAGTGTAATATGAATTATTCAACCTTTGTTGAATTATGTACCATTTGGGCATAAGCTGAGATCATTACATACTGGTCCACACTGGGAGGTGGGGGAAATTATATCATAGTGGAATGTAACATTATGAAACTCCCTGGACATTAGGCAGGATGCAAAAGGAATATATGTGAGGAGAGTGATGGAACAGAAAAGATCAGAAAGTGGGATCTGTGGCTTCAGAGGAATTTTGAATAATATTTTATCCTCTGAACTTTTACCCAGCTTCTGATGGTGTTTAAGTGCCTGCATGTGCCAGGATCTCATGTTCTGGCACAGCTGTGTTGCAGCAGTGAAATGTGACGGCTGTCAAAAGCTGCGTGTTTGCTGGTCAAACCCTGACAATGGGTAAACATTGTGGAGCTCACTAAACAGGACACTCTTAGCAAAGTTTACTTAAGAAAGGAGGTTCCTTTATTTCTCTGTTAGTGAGGTTTAGTTTATGGCACTTTTGACACTGTGCTGTGTATCTGCTGAGAGCAGGCTAGCAGAAGGTGAGCTGACATACAAGCTCAGAGTGGGTTGAGTGGCTGCGTGGTGTTTCATGATATCAGCAGTTTGACAAGAACAGAGAAAACTGGAGGAATTAAAGGGCATGTGATCATTCCTTAGACGTCGGTTTGTTAGAGTGCAAGTACCCCCCTCATGCGCAGACACACTCTCCTCTGCACCATCCATTATTCATCTATGTGATTTATTTATATGTTTATTTCTCTTTTAAAATGGGACTGTTTTTCCCTGGGTTTGTAATCTGTGTTTCAGCTGGCTCACAGAGAGGGTTAAGGAATAACAAGCATTTCTCCCCAGAGACCTTATTAAGCATCAATTATTAAAGACCCAAGTATCTCTGTAGTAGCAGTGACGCTATCACCAGTGTTTTCGTTCACATGTAGGGATTCGTATTGGTGTTATGCAGGATGTGGTTCTACTGAATTTACCAGCTCTCAGTTTATTTCAAACTAAAATGATGATGATTTAAAGAATATTTCACACTCTACTCTTGTCTGTGCCTCCGACATCCTCTCAAGATTTAAGGGAAAATGTTCTTGATGCAAGGTTCTTTTCAAATGTTTCATCTCATCTCCACTTCTACGTTATCTGATATTTAATTCTTTTAGAAACTGCAGTTCAGTTTTAGGCTTTTGGGTCAACTTCTAGAGATGATTGTTACGCAATGTCAAGTTCAGTTCAAAAGTTACTAAAAAATTCTAAATATTTCTTCCCCAATTCCCCTTCAGTATATGTAGCGCAGTGTGAGGTATTTTTGTTATTGGGTAGACGTGTTAAAGTAGATACAAAGTGCTCTGAAAGCATGCCCTGTGAGTAAACCGCCATGTCAAACATTCATAGATTTGTATTAATGGATAGCTCACGGTTCCTGCTTTTCCTACAATCATTAACATACAGTGTATTAGATAATGATGTCATGTAGTCAAATGAATGACAAAATACCAAGACATACTAAGTGCAGCTGCCACGCACATAATAGTAAGAATTTCACCATTATATGTACACTAATATACTAATGTACAGCTATAAGGCTGTTTTGTGTGTGTGTATGAGACTAAGCCATTGTTGTACTTTCTCTTGAGACTGCAGTCGAGATTGGTGATAGAAATTATTAACTCTTCCTGGCATTTCTTTCTCGTCTGGTTGTAAAGCCTTTGAAGAGAAACCTCAATCACAGGTTTTCAATGAAAGACACGGATTTAGCTTGGAGATTTGCAAACATAATCTTTATTGTCTCTCCACGATAATGCACCCCAACCTTGGCAGTTGTTATATAGCTTTTTTTTTTTTTTTTCAGTCAACAAGCTTTGATGATTGTGATGGCAGTATGGTGACCTTGGTAATTCAGAGGACAGGGGGCCACGCTTAATGAGATGCATGTGAATCAAGAAAAGTGAGTGGGATCTAATAAGGACCCTCCACTCTCTCTTACCTGAAGAGTATCCAGACCGCAGGCAGCCTTATGAGGTTAGCATATCAATAAGGAGGCAGGGCATCTCTATGAAGCCACAGCTGAGTAAAACGTTCTATACAGAGAGCGAATGCCGATGCAGTCTGATCAAAAACGCTGCACATGCCAGCAGGGGTTGTGAGCCTGAGTGGTTGAGGAAATGTATGAATCGATTTGACTGGGATCACCATAAAGGCAGAGCTGTTTCGCTGTGTTATAGTTTTATACACATCACTCCATTTTCCTGTCCTTCCTCAACCATTCAGTCTGTTTGAACTTTCTGATGCTTGCTTATGTGGTTACTGATTTTTATTGATTATGACTATAATGATTAATATCCCATATATGTTAAATCAATTCACTATTTTCTTAAGAATTGCCTCAGTGGCATTACATATCTCAAAGCCAGGCCAGATTATTATATTCACTGGTAACTTGTTTAATATTATAGTATTTCAAAGACCTACAAATATTTAAAGACATCTTTTTACTGACAGATTTACTGTGCTTCTGTTGTGATGGTGGCAGTTTTATCTTTACAGTGGTTATATAATTTATCATCAAAACACTTATCAACAGTTATGAAAGTACTATAGTACTACAGAGTAATATTTAACTCTATAGTATAACTAGTAACTACTATAGTAACTCTATAGTGAGTATACAGTGGGTTCAAATTTACTGAACCTATATGTTGTACTGTATTTCAACCATATATAACATTGCCCACAGCCAGCAGCAATAAAATACAGTACATATGAACCTTTCACTGCCTCCTCTCTCCCTGTAGCTCACAATTATAACAGCAGTTCTTTTTTTTATCAGCTGACCACAAGGGCAGTAATGAAAGCACCCCAGAGATGCCCGAAAATCCCACTTTTATTGCACAAAATAGAAAAACACCATGTCAGGCAACAGATTACAATCTGATCAATTTTCTAAATTAATTCTGGTCCCCCACCTGTCACATTGGGTTATAACAAACTGCCTCAGTCCCAAAATGTGCTGCACAACCATTTTAGACTTTGCACGGCTCGTCTCGATATCACCTGGGATGAAAAAGGGGGGTAGTTGAAGTAGATTACAAATACACCACATCTTGAATCTTTATAAATCTCTTCAAATGCCTAGAGTGTTTGGGGCTGGTGCTGCGTGTGCAGTTAGTCCAGGCTGTTGCATAAGGGTGTCTTGCTTTTTATCAGGAGGCAATCAAGTCTGTCAAAGTTTGCGATTGGATGATAAAAACTAGAAAACCCAAAGACATGATTAACAAACAAGTACAGTGATCTCGTCAGAGTGAGACATCTTTTTGTGATTTCTATCTTGTAGGTAACCTGAGCATCCATGAACAGCTGGAGCAACTTGTGGCCAATTTTCTCGGAGTAGAGTCCTCCATGACGTTTGGGATGGGTTTCGCCACCAACTCGATGAACATTCCAGCACTTGTTGGCAAGGTTTGTGATTTTACACCATTAATGCCACACACTGATTGTAGGAAATCCTGCTATACATGGGTATCATTTTTACAGCGCAGCAGAAATTAATCTAATTAGCCTAGCTTTTGTTCCTTTCTCGCATATGGCCTAAATTAATGAATAACAGTCAACTAAACTCAGCTGCGACACTCCCGACCCACCCCCATTAATTAAAATCATAATTAAACATTACAGTAGCCGCAAGGATGAGGCTCTGGGCATACATAGCTGCTTTCAGTCACATGACAAGGAAGGGCAGGTTTTGTTAAGAGCACAACTCAAGGGTATGATTACCCATACTCTGGCCTGGCGGCACACCAGCCTGGCTCACACAGACAGCCACGGGTTACCAGGGGCAACACACAGCATGAATATCTGTGATTGGACTGGACAGGGGAAGGGGAGGTTGACTCTTTAAGTGATGAGAACGGGGTCGTTTATGCAGCTCAAGAGGTGTAGCAGCCCCTTAGGCTGCAGCCCCCAGCAGTAACCCTGCAGGGGCTGGGGGGTCAACCCACACTGCCAACTCTATCCTACAGGGACAGGCTGTGCCAGGACAGGCCTCACTGTGCAGGCAGGGCTACATTAGAGTGACAGCTGCTGGTAGACCAGGGACCAGGCCAGCTGGACCCCAGGCCAAACTGAGGGTATCTGTCACCGAGACGGTGTCAACATACCCTCTACAAGAGTTCACTCAAACTAATGCAGTCAAATGCTTAGAGCTTCAGTGTTAAATATGCTAATGTTGTGGAGAGAATTTCCTGGAACAGCTGAATTAATTTGCATGCTGATTTTTATGGCATATTATGAAGTACCATACTCTCCATTATGAAAAATGTGATGTGTCTGTTAGTCGAAACTTCATCAGACATGAAAGAATTTCTGAATATGTGCAGTACATTCAGCTATTATCATACACAGAGGACCTACACATAGAGGATTATGATTGAGGCATGGAGGAGAATAGAGGGCTAACTTGTAATTGGCCAGGTGGATCCTTTTAGAGCAACAGATATTGTACAGAACGTTCTACAAGGACAAAGTACAACAGCATGAAGTACGCAGAAAAACAAGCAGCCTCTCAGAAAACAGACACAAGAGTATGGTTACGCAGCACACACAGCTACACTGATTTTCATCCATGTACAGTATACTGATGATAGTGTTTACAAGCTTTCTCCTGTGCGCAAGAGAGAATCTAATTGGCCCTGTCTCTAAGTGTAGACCATTAAATATGAAGCAACATTATACACTGTCTTTATACACTGCAAATATTATCATCTTATCAATAATGAAAGATTACAACCAAATAGTGTAATGTACTATACATACAAGAATTTTGTGGAGTTTGTAAGAAATTTTAATTTCCAGATTGCAGGAACATGTGATTCAGTTGTTTAACTGGAATTGAAATTTAATTAAATCTTTTCTCTCTGCTGATTTTCAGGGTTGTTTGATACTGAGCGATGAGCTCAATCACACATCTCTCATCTTAGGGGCCAGACTGTCAGGAGCGACCATCCGCGTGTTCAAGCACAACAGTAAGTCCAGTAACTCTTTCATGGGAACATAAGTCTCACAACCAGCCTGGCAGGTCTGGAATCTCTTTGTTTATTTTTTAATTCCAACGGGCGTTATCAATGGTTTTAGACCAAAATGCCTGTGAACTGGTTAGACCTATTATAAGTCAGAGCAATAAAACATAATGTAGCACTGAGCGACTGCAAATCACTAAAGCGTGATGCAGATGCAGCCATCATTGTTTTCAAAACTGCTCAATGGCACTCCTCTTTACTAAGCTAGGTTTATGCTCACTGTAGTGTCCCTGGCATGAGGATGAACGAGCCAAAAATGACATCATCACAGATTTAGCATAACACACAAAGGCTCCTCAAGTTTTCAGTCATCATATCAAACTCACCCTGTTTTAGATAAACTTTTGTGATTGGCTCGAAGCGGGCCAGGTCGGCTGCAAATCTGTTTGAACGGGAGGGGGACCAGACGCATCTGCCAGAGCAAATAAAACACGAGCTTGCAGATTGTCTGGTTCCCAGGCTACCTTACAACGACATGATACACAACGTTATTTAAGCTATAACCAATGTGGTGTTTCAGTTTGCCAGCATCTGTAACATTCATTGCTCCTGCCAAATAAACATTGCTGATGCATTTTGCCATAGATTATCTTTTGATGAAGTTTGGATTTCTGTTTGTGCAGCCACCTCTGATGCTCACATTATCTAGTTCTTCTTCTGTTCATTCCAAACTGTTGCTGCTGTGAGAAAAACACATTACTTTCTGTGCGGTACAGGATTTGCCTTAGGAAAGACCTACTTAACATTCTGTGTTTAGAGCAGCAAATGTAAAAAGCTTTAATGAAATGGGTTCAGCTTACAGTCACGACTGCGTTTTATTCCATGAGCAGCAGAGCAGCAAAACACAAGTTTGTTTATATGAAAATGTCATCTTACTTAGACTAAATGCTCTCTATTATTTTGTCAAAGTATACATTGTCAGTAGATGAATAGGGAGAATTATTTAGCATGAATGATACAACATTAATCACGCTTGCGTTGGAAACATCCACTGCTCTTTCAGGAGACAGGACAAATGAGCCGGTCCTCTGGCAGCAAATGTGTCCTGACAGGTACAAGCAGAGTCAGTTATGGGTCCTCCAAGCAGATCCCAGAGGTCTGTCTAAAGGCAAAGAGCCCTCAGGCACCTGAGTATCTGACCCCTCCCTGCTTTTATACCTCCAGCACCAGACACTCTTTTATTAGTGCAAGGCCAATATTTACTAAGAGGGTTCAACCGATCAACTCGGCCACATCAACAGATAAGTGAAAAAAAAATCTCTGTCTAAAATGTCTAATATCCCTTGTTTTTGTTTCAGTGGTGTGTGTTTAACATGGAAGGACGGGAATTCATGCCAGAGAGCAAATGAACTGGTTTGTCCAGTCTAGCTTTGTGAGACGTGTGTTGTAAATACTTCGAATAGTAATAGATAAAGGACGTTTATTTTGAAGGTTGGCGTAATTATTCGTTCAGATAATTACATGTATTTAATGGAAGGTTATGGCTTGTTTATAAAGCTGGTAGCATTTTTACATTCCCAGGGTCACTGCAAAGATAAGATAATAACATCTTTGTTGACATCCACAACTGTATGCACGTTTCTTATGGTAGCAAAGACTATCATCCCCCTCATCACAGTCATACAGTATCACGCATCAGGCCGTGTGGCTTATCTCAAATCAGTGCTTAACTGTGAAATAATCTTTTCCTCATTCTTGTCTGTGCACACAGCCCAGCCACTGTGGATTTCTCTTTCACTGTCTGGTTTCCTCAGTGTTGATACTGGTAATGTGAGGTGTACTCTGCTTTGCGGAGCTTCAGGAAGTGATTTTTATCAGAAGAGCGTCTGCTGCCTCTTCAGTAAACCTGTTTTTTTTTTTTTGTGCTGAGGGAGCAATATCGATCATCTATGACAGATAATTAGCTGTGACAGGTTTACTCGCTGCTCGGCTGGAAATGGTTGGATTGCGGTCATACTTTGAATAATGCTGCTTTGCAAACCACAGTTATTCAACACTGCCATCTGCTGGCTTGCAGCAGAGGAACATTAATAGTGTAGCCATTGCATGGTATAAACTCTAAATGCCACAGGGAAATGATTTGGATGAAGCCAAAATTTTGATCCTAATTTTAAGCAACCATGCAGACTGCACTGAAGAGACCTTTGGCCAAACCCATATTTAGCTCAGTTAGTAATCCGCCCTGATACAGACATTGCAGGTGTTCATTAGCATCAGGCTGCAGAGGTATTTGCTGTGTGTAGTTTGTGGAAGGTGTTTCTGGCAGATAAAGTAGTGCTTTGTGTACTCTGTGAACTGCCCTGCCCTGTAGAAATTATTACTCAACTTACTGTGGTTGGCTTTTAGTTGGAGTTCCTTGCATCTAATTATTGCTACACTCTAAAAACAGGATGTGTTTCTATGTATAAAGTGTTTAATTGTACTTGATTTCATTGTACAAGACTAAACTACACTACAAACATCATTGTGTGTTAAGCTATTTGTTTTGTACCTTAATAAGGTTTGAAATTAGATTAGATTGTTGGGTTCTTGCCTGTTTCATCACTTTTTTTTCTCTCAGACATGCACAGTCTGGAGAAGATGCTGAGAGAGGCAGTGTGCTCTGGGCAGCCACGAACCCACAGGCCCTGGAAGAAGATCCTCATCATGGTGGAAGGCATCTATAGGTCAGCTGTCATTATACAACACACACACATCAGTGTAGTCGCTCTCTCGCAGACACATATCTTGGGGGTCAGTTGAGCCATTGTATCAATCTTTGTAAGTATAGGCTTCCAGGTGGTCTTTAGCAGAGTTTTTGCACAGCCAGGTAGAAATCTTAAATTGTAACCTGAGGAGAGCTTTCAGCCAGTGTTTAGCACTCCCTGTAATGGTCTCCTTTACAATTGCTTCCCTCTGTGTGTGTCTATGGTTGGGTACCGTTTCATTACAAGAGAGAAGAGCAAGGTGTTGTGTGTCTCTCTCAGGCCAGCAGTGAGCTATCCTGAGTCTTAGTGACCCTCTCCATCTGCTCATTAGCTCCAAATCAAGGCCAAATGGAGCCACAGAGATTGACTTGGCTACACCCCCAGTTCCAACTGTTTATCACGGCCATTTACTTCTCTCCTTTCTTCCCTCTTTTTACCCTCAAATGCACCATGCATTTCAGGCCTTTTGAACTAAAACACCACATATTTATTTTGCTTAATAGACAACTTAATTTCCCCTCCACACATTTACACAGTCGGTGAAGTTTACTAAATTGGTTTTTGACAACCTTCTTTTCAAATGAACAGGACAGTCTTGAACATGGCCATCAGTTGGTATCAATATGACTATTAGTTCCACAACGGTCCTGGTAATTTGAGAGACAACTTAATTGCATGTAATCATATTGCAATAATGTCTGATGTCAGACTCCGACATTAAAAAAACGCTGCCTTGCTGTACGGCACTGAAAGAACTAATGCTCCATCTATCGCCTCCCTGTAACATCAAAAGACTCAGATAAAGACTAAGCATGCTTAGCTATATCCTGGCCCTGCCTTTGATGTCCATGTCCGTCCTGGTGAAACCCTGTCTTGTGTCATTTGGGCTGCAGACGTTCTCAGCCATAGCAAGGATAGCAGGTCTGGGATTGCTCTATTTTCACCAGCCATATACTCACTCATACTGTCTGTTTGTAGCCTTAAAAGGCTTGCATCCGAGGGGAGGAAGAGATGGGAAAGAGGTGGGAGTAAAGTGAAAGAGGCCAGCAGAAAGATTCTTGGAAGATTGGTGTCAAATTATGTAATATGCACTTACAGATGTACAGATCCTCTGCAGTGGATAAAGTGAGGTCCAGGGTCAGATTCTTTTCCTTTTAAACCTGATCACCTGAACAGTCTGGCCTACAATTGATTAATGTGAGTGCCCACATTGTTTAATTTGTAACTGTATTCTTTGTTTGACTCTCGTCTCATTAGCATGGAGGGCTCAGTGGTGCGACTTCCTGAGATCATCGCTCTGAAGAACAAGTACAAAGCATATCTGTACCTAGACGAGGCCCACAGTATCGGAGCAGTGGGACCATCGGGGAGGGGCGTGACCGAGCTGTTTAATGTGAACCCAACTGACGTGGACGTGATGATGGGCACCTTCACCAAGAGCTTTGGGGCTGCTGGAGGCTATATCGCAGGGAAAAAGGTTACTGTGGATTTTGGGATTTTCTGTGTCAGCTCTCTCTGCTTTATTAATTTTACTGTAGTTGATATTCATATACTGCATATTGTTCTGTCATTCTGAATATAATTTGTACAATTTGTTTTTTTTTATCTTATGAGTTATATAAAGGGCTGGATATCAGTACTCCTTAACCTTAACTGAAATAACCCAATTAGTGTCAAAATGTCTCCACTCTAACGATAAGTGCAATTGAGCCTTTTGCACTGACTGTAGCAACTCCCCACCATATCAGCAAACTTTCTGATGCAGCCTCCTCCATCTGCCCAATTAGCACCAGCTAACAAACACCCACATCTAACACCAAGCCAAAAAACAGTCCCAACAAACTCACACCAGCACTGAAACAGCTCATCTCTGTCATTAAACCCATAAATAACTGTTAGGCAACATTAGCTACGTGATGCTAACGCTTAGCCCCATCACTGTGTGTTTGCGGCCAGGCGGACTCTCGCAACTGTCCTCAGTGCAGAGCTCACACTCCTGCAGCAGCAGCTACAATCCATAAAGTCTTTGGTGAGGTGAAGTTAAAGGAAATGGCCACTTTAGAATGAAAATACGGACAGTACTTACTGACCCTCATGCTGACAAGAAGTCCAGTGTAGTTTTTTAATCCACAAAACTCGTTCGGGGTATCGGAGGATAACAGCTAGCCGGATTTTTCCATACACTTGAAGTGCATGGAACCCATGTCCAAAATCATTTTGAAAATGTAATAAAACTCCGCTAATGCATTTCAAAAACGTCAGAACGGCTCGTCCAACAGCAGGAAGGACTCATGAGAACAAGTACGTCTCTGAACATTCTCGAGTCTCGTGCGAGTTGCCATGTAAACACAGCACGCCTGCAGGCTAACTGACCACGGTGAGAATTTTTTTTTTTTTTTCTCAAGCCGTTCTGATGTTTTTGAAATGCATTAGCAGAGTTTTATTACATTTTCAAAATGATTTTGGATGTGGGTTCCATGCGCTTCACGTGTATGGAAAAATTCGGCTAGCTGTTATCCTCCGATACCCCGAACAAGTTTTGTGGATTAAAAAACTACACTGGACTTCTTGTCGGCATAAGGGTCAGTAAGTACTGTCTGTATTTTCATTCTAAAGTGCTCATTTCCTTTAAGCGTGGTGTATTTGATGGAGTTGCAGTCCAGCATGCCGAGATGCCACCAAAACATTCAAAAGTATGGCTATACACTACAAGCCTCTCCATTCACATCATTGGTATCGCCTAAAGTACTGTATTGGTATCAGTATCACTTTACGGATACTGGTACTAGTGTTTTTAAATGATGCCCAGCCCTAGTTATAAATATACATTTAATCATTTTACACCTGAGAATTTTTGTTTACAGAATTTCATTCTAAAACTTAATTTTCTTCCACACATTTTCTATTAAGGTAGGCCATATTCAGAACACTTTATTGCCTCAAGTTTTTGTGTTTAATCACATAGCTGGCTGTAAAGAGTAAATGTAAACAAGAGGAGAGAGAGGCAGGGAAAGGCAATGTTATTTGTTTTGCATATTTCAACATGACAATTCAGTGCTTTATATTAAAGAAGATATAAGAGAAACACAAGACAGTATAAAAAAGACACATACAGAGAAAGGGCTTAAAATAGAAGACAAAAACAAGCTGAAATAGTTTAATGTAATGTAATTCATCATCACTGTTTTAAGTGATATCCAAATCACCAGTTCGTGGTACACCTGTAAAAAAACTGAATTAGCAAACACTGCAGTAGACCTGCTGATTTTCCAGTCAGGCAGAAACTAGTCTGGTTGCTATGCAAAAATAATCCCCCTGGACACAAACGGGGTCAAGATACATTTCAAAATGTACGTAGGTGGGATTAATCACACAGAAACAATTCCAACAGCTTTAGGCAAGTTGCCATTCTTAGAAAATAACTGAGCTGAATTTTTAAAACTTTCTTGACATTGTTTATACAACCTGGCAGCCATTGTCTGTATACAGGAACAGTGTTAACCCATTTGGCTCCAAAGCAGGTTAGAACACATCGTACAAAATATTGATTTTACCCAGGTCTTTATTTAAAGATGTGTGGGACTCAATCATACACACTTCATTACACCCCACCTCTCTTGTAGCTCTCACGTGTCCAACAAATGTTCCCCAGGCTGTGACTCCGGGCCTTTATAATTCTTTTTTACTCCATTAAAAAGTACACTTTAGTACATAACCACATTGGTTTTGTGGCAGTTGATTAGAAAGCAACGGAGGAAACGGCCATGTTGCTTGAATTAGGTATTCAGAGAGGGACCCTTCCTGCCATTGCCTTTATGTCGGCTCAGCCCTGCTCTGCCATAATAAGAAGGTAAAGCTGGCAGAGGGCCAGCCCCTTCTTGTGGCGGGCGTCGGAACTGCGCTCCAGATTTAACAGGATGACTTTTAATAAGCATGATAATGTTTGAAGTAAGAACACTGTGCCTGGTTTGACAGCTGGCTGTAGTAAACCCCTGAAAGAAACAGGCAGGAAAAGAGAGAGAAAGCCTTTAGATTTGACGTATTTGTTGTTGTGGTGAAATCCCCCAAATCCTACATTAAGTGGATGCGGGTTGACCGACAAAAGACTCTGCAGATGTGCTCTGGAAAACAGTCATGTTACAGCTATTTTATGAGAGTACCAAAAATAAATATCCCAGTACATACACTTCAAGCTCCTTCTAATTCACTTCAACCTTGCATGAAAGAGGCTTTTATTCATTAACCCTTTACTCAAAACTGGGATTGCACTGAGATTAGGTTATTAAATACATCCGTTGAAGAACCAAGTAGTGTGTGTGGTGTTCTGGCACAGCTCCTGCTCTGTGGCACTGTGGACATGTATCACCACATCAGTATTGTGGCCACCTTGCGGCTGAGGAAACACTCTAAGCTGTCACTCCACACCCGCAGACGTGAGATGGATTTCGGACATGTTCTCTTAACTGGTTTATCTTGGTCGCACCAAAATCCTGCGGGGCCCCTAAAGCGGTGAAAATCCCCCAGCTTTAAACGAAAACAGATGTCAGGTTGTTTCAGGGTTCTTATCCTACGTTTGAGCATTTCCCCTAAAATCCCCTCCCCTCTTATGTGTGAGGAAGCCGCAGCCGCCGCCCAGTGGGGACAGATGGCGGTGAGTGGAAATGGTGGCCAGACAGCATCTCCGGCTATGTGTCATCACCCTGCACCCGCTGGCCACTGCGCAGCCACTGAGCAGCAGCCCATCACAGCTTCAGGCCCTGATCCCAACCTCAGACCACTTACACACACGTGCTCCAGGGACCCATGACCGAATCGTTTTCCTGAAATCCTGCTCTTCTCTTGACAACCATTCACAGAATTAATCTCCTGCTGACATTTACGAATAATGAGCATGGCAGTCCTCATTCTGGCTCATTTCAGCAATGGTTCTTTCTCAAATTAGTGCGCTGGCTACCTTAGAGTAGAGAGCAGGGACAGGTCCAGAGCTATTTTACAGTCAATGCCAAGACATTCATAATGACAGAAAAATGACTTGAGGTATTTTAATTGATTTTCAGGTGTTGAGCTCGCTCTAGTGGTGCTAAAATAAAAGTGCAGGGAAGTGCAGTTCTGAGAATACATATTATTACATATATATTTAATCAGTGTTTTTACAAAAATGTCTCTGTCCTGTGTTGCAGGAGCTGGTGGACTACCTGCGCAGTCACTCTCACAGTGCAGTATATGCCTCGGCCATGTCCCCTCCTGTCACTGAGCAGATCATACGCGCCATGAAGTGCATCATGGGAAAAGACGGGAGCACAGAGGGTGAGTGTCTTAGTTCACCGCGACTCCCACCAGTGAACGTCACCCTCAATTTCAGTCTTATTATCCACATGCTCGTCAAACCTGATGTTCTTTACACAGACAAATATTATGTCTGGCTTATAAAAATTTTTACACCTTAATATAATTTTTTATGGAAACAATAGCAAACCAAATCCAGAGGATAGCACCAATGTTAACATGAGGAGTAAGTCCAGACCTGCAGGGAAAGACAAACAGCTGCTTGGTCAGAAAATGTGGTTGCAATTACAGGGGTCTGCAGTGGTAGGAAAAGGGGGGACATGCAGTCCCTGAGCACACGTGACCTTAACGTGGAGGAAATCATTTTCATGTGTGTGTTGTGAGGAACACTGTACCGCTGAAAAGTTTCTGCTTTAATGGCATCAGACACAAGGGCAGGGAAGTAGTCATTACCAGACCGGTTGCGATACTGCCAGAGCAATTCTTCTTGAGTTATTATAGTTTTAGTTCTGGCAGTAGTAGTAGTAGTAGTATATGTAGTGGTGGAGGTAGTAGTGGAAGGTAAATGGCAGATATTTACACACTTACAGTAACAGCCATGTTAACTGCGTGGGATACAAAAATACATGTCTGTCGTGGGGTGCTGTAATGGGTTAATCACTTCAAGGACCAAAGCCTGGTGTCTCATGGTTGAGGTGTATTGTAGCTTCATGCAAAGATGAGTAACTTTCTCATCTGGCTCTGAACCAGACATGCTTTGCATCTGACGTAGCCCAGCGAAATAGCTGTTGTGGAAAAATGAGTCTTGACCTGTCTTATAGAGGGCAGGGAACACAGCAAACACTGCAGTCTTTCACCACATTAGCTCCAGCATCCATCACAAAACCATAAAAGCCCACTCTGACAGGAAGTTTTCTCTGTACATANTGTTCCAATACTTTTGCTCACCTAAAAATTTTGTGTTCCATTACAAATAATGCTATCTTCTAAGTTGTGTATCAGATCCAGATGTAAATACCTGGAAATAAAAGCTGAAATGTTGATCTCTTGTCTCATATTCATCTTTTGATGTCAAACCCAAATGTTTTCAGTCTACAACAAAAGTAAACGAATTGGACTCACTGTTCCAATACTTTTGGAGGGCACTGTATGTTGAATTTCGCACTTTAAAGCAAACTGGTGGCAACGGCTCTGAAACATGGGGAAAAAACCCTGACAGACAGCAACATCCACACATTCTCACCTACTCATATGATTTCTGAGTCTGGCAGCAGGTTTTTGACCCCCATGCCCTCTATCTAAGCAGAGAGGAACAATTTACAAAATGGGGCCTGCTTTTTGGCAGATGCCTGAATGTTGTGTTTTTTTTTCCTCCCTCCCTCTTTCTCTTTCTCTCTGCTGAGATAAGGGGATTTAAAGTGCTCTCTTACATCCCCATGAAAGAACTGCCAATTTGTTCCCAGGTAATCAGAGGGAAACAGAGTTGTGTTCCAAGGCTGGGCCATGCCAAACTGTGCTACAGCCACAGAGCGCCAGGCTCCCCAGTGATTCACATCATCTGAAAACACAGGGGGTTAGCAGGGCAACCCGCCTCTGCTGTCTTTGATTCTAATACATTTATCTGAAATACATGTGATCCTTTAGCATTATTTGTATTCCGTTTCAGTCATGGCTTCGAGCCAGTGGCAGTCCACAGTCACTCATTTTGTGCGAAATCCATCGTATCCAATTTGCAAACCCTCATTTTGGCAACGCGCGAGTGCGTATACCATGCCGTCAGACGGACAAAACTGAACCATCTGCTGCCGCAGCTGAGTTGTAATCATGAGCAAGTTCATAGCGGAGGCTGGAATGGCCCAGATGGAGGTGCAGGACTCAGGATGAGATGGCACTGCAGAGAACTCACACTACATTAGCTACCACTGACAGGTGATGTCCCTCCCTGCAGGGGACAGGAGAAATACGCATAAAACAGTGAGTTGGTGTTTTACTCATGTACATCTGGTGGTGTCCTTGTTTTAATTGGAGGCATTAGACGGATCCGCCAACTGGCAGAGAACACCAGATACTTCAGGGCCAGACTGAAGGAGATGGGCTTCATCATCTACGGCAATGATGACTCACCTGTGGTTCCCATCCTGCTCTACATGCCAGGCAAAGTGGTGTAAGTACACTTAAACTCTCCCCAAAAACACTTACCTCTTTTAGAGTAGTGTAAGATTGTCAGGAAATTCATTCTGCGTAGACTAATCTGAAACAATGAATATCAACTTCACTATCCTTTGTTGTCACAAGCAATTTCAGGTCAGCTCACTGTGTGTCATCACTAAGTGATTTGGATGGTTGCCATATTACACACTCCAGAGTTTCCATGAATCAGTAGTGTAGACTGGGTTCCTGTAACCACTTAAGAGGCAACATCAGGTATTGATTAGGTATAATCCAGGATTGCTTTAGCCACTCAGGTATAATCAATTGGGTATAAAGTGTCTTTCAATGCGAGTCACCATTAATATCCATGAAAAGGCCAGTTCCACCCAATATAATCAGTAGCTTCTGATTTTACATCGCTCCGTTTTCATGAGCATTAATGATGATTGGGAAAAAAGTCCATCAGTCTTATCCTTAAATATTATTTTTTAAATAATTTTAAAGCAATTTCACTGTTATTTTCCGTTCAAAGCTGTCTGGAAATGTTGTCTTGTAACAACACTTAAGTGCATTTCTCAGGCATTGCATAACAACTGTATTAAAGCTATGTGTCCGTAGCTACTTTGCTATATCAGATCTACTTCTAGTCATTTACTTGTTACCCTTTTTGGATTATTGCTGTCCTAATGACTTAAGTTGATCTTAAAGATGTTGCCATTAAATTGAGATTCTGGACTAGCTCTGCACGCAAATTACACATCATCTAAAATATGGAAAACCATTCAAGTTTGCAGTGTCAGATTTATTTAATCCGTTTTAGAGCACATTTTAAAGGGGAAGTTCACCCCAAAATCAAAAATCCATATTTTTCCTCTTACCTGTAGTGCTGTTTATCAGTCTAGGTTGTTTTGTTGTGAGTTGCCGAGTGTTGGAGATATCAGCCATAGAGATGTCTGCCTTCTCTCCAATATTATGGAACTAGATGGCACTCAGCTTGTGGTGTTCAATGTTTCAAACAAAACATTTGAAAAACTTAACAGCAATATCTCTGTCCAGAAGTCATGACCCAGCTGCTCAAGATAATCCACAGACCTTGTTGTGAGCAGTTTCATGTAGGAACTATTTTCTCTCTATCGAAGTACACCCATCAACTGTATCACTGCGCAGAAGGAAGTGTGCATCTATTCATGGCAGAGAGGCTCAAGATGTAAATATTAATGGTGTCCTTCTCAGCTGAGCTGTAACATACTTCGCTCAGAGGTGCATCTCACATCTCTACGGCCAACAACTTTATCACTCGGCAACTAACACTAAAACAATTTAGACTGATAAATTGCACTACAGGTAAAAATGAATTTTTGAGTTTGGGGTGAACTGTCCCTTTAGGGTTTGAACTCTCTGAACTGTCTACTTCACCACAAAATGAAGAGGTATTCAGTGCTTGGACTCATTAAAGTAAAAGTCATCAGAGATATGTTGCTTCTAGCCCTTCAAAATTGTTAGTTATGTGTTCTTTTTAATTTATCAACACCACACATCCCAGCTACATAATTAAGGATTTGGAGGGGCTCGAAGAAGCAACATTCCATGTTTCTTTTAATGTGATGAGTAAAAGCGGCAAATGCTCCATCATCCTGAGGTGGCTTTTGGGGCCTCTGCACATGTTGGAGACTTCAAACCTTAAATATGTGAGAAGTATGTAAGAAATGTGAGATAAGTTGTTGTTTAGTCTTGTATGCTGTGAGTGACTATTGATTTTTCACCCTGATTCTATTGCTGTGTGTTGTATAATCTAGAATATAATCTAATTCAGTCAGAGGTCTGTATATGACAAAAAGAACCACTTTAGTTTCTTTTTTTTTCATTTCATTTCATTTTATTTTATTTTTTGCTGACCAGGGCTTTTGCTCGAGAAATGCTGGAGAGGAAAATTGGTGTTGTAGTGGTCGGCTTCCCGGCTACACCGATTACAGAGGCCCGAGCTCGCTTCTGTCTGTCTGCAGCACACACCAGAGCCATGCTGAACCAGGTATACACACACACAAATATTTAACAACATCAAATTCCTCACTGAGGGTATTTTAAAGGGTATTTTTCACCTGAATCAAACATATACACACATGCTCTGAGACTTTTCCTTCACCCTTAGGTGCTGCACCATCTGAACGAGGTGGGAGACACTCTCTGCCTGAAGTTCTCACGGCTGAAATATACCCCGAGTCCTGACCTCTATGATGAGACAGACTTTGAGCTGGACAGCTGATATGACCCCTGACACCTTCATTTCACAGTGTCAAAACCAAGTGTCCGCGCCGCAGCAGACCCGTAAACACACAGTGCAGAGTAACACCCACGTCTCACTGCACGAGAGGCAGCCAAATGTTTAGCAGCTGCTTTTTATACATTTGTACAACATTTTGATTTGACAGAACACTTATTTTTGCTTCCTTACAAGAGACTCTATTTGAACTATTTAAATGTTTTATTTCTAAATACATATATATATATGTAAATACAAACATGAAATTATTGCACAGGCATTGCAGGATTGGTGTCAAACTCAAATGCATTGTAAAATATTTTGAGTCATTTAGCCTTTTATATTGAGACATCATTCTAAATACTTGTTTCTATATTAAGCACTGAAAACTGCTTATCATAATTTATTGTCACCATTTACAGTATGTAGGATTTAGGGGGTATATATTGGCAGAAATGTAATATGTATGTTTTCTTTTGTTACCTTAGAATGAGCCATTTATATCTACACAGGAAGCAGGTCCTCATCCACAAAGTCCGCCATGTTGCACTGCCATGTTTCTACAGTAGACTAGAATGGACAAACCAAACACTGGTGCTAGACAGGGCCATCTGCGTTTTCGTGTTGGCCTCCTTAGTTAGCATCTCCTCCGTGATGAGCCGAACAGCCTCTGAGAAACACTGATATGTAATGTGAAACTGCTTTATTCATTGTTTTCAGTGATTCACAAATGATGGATCGCGGTCCTAAAGTGGATCATGGGTCCATTCTGAAAAGACCGCAAGTCACTTGCAAACACTATTTTTAAGTACAGTGAATTTCCTGCACAGAGCTTTTATTTTGAAGTGCCATTTCCTGCGACTTGACAGAGACAAACTAGCTGGGCAACATGGCCAAAGGCAAGTATGATGCTGTATATATTACACTGTTTGGACCTTTAACTAGTGTCTAAGGAGATATCTGGACACCATGGCTGGACTGATTTAAATCACCAGAGAGGAAGAGACCTCTGCAGTTAATCGGCTCCCACTAAAAACCTCCTGAACAATAAACCCTGAAGGAATTTTAACCGGGAGAATTTTCTGCTGGTTGCAACCTGCAATCCTCACTGCTAGATGTCACTAAATTCCCCTAAATCCTACATACTGCTCCTTTAAAAGATGCCAGTGGTGGTCATTATTGTGAGGAGTCCCATTTACTTCCTGTACATGGAGAAGTATTTAAAAGTTATGGAAAAGGCATTTGTAGGTTGACATTTCCCCTGTAGCGCACTGCTGCATTGCTAAAATATTGTGTTTGCTGATACCTATTTTTATTTTATTTCCAATAAAACACAAATATTGCACACAAAAACTTCCTGAATTGGTTTTGGCATAGAAAGCCAGATTAATTATCCAGATGACAGGCTTCTTAAAAGTCCTGAACCTTCCCTTTGGAACTGCATTAATTTCCTGACACATGATTATTTACACTACTCAAGGCTGAAGTGACTGAGCAAACGATGACGAAGATGCCTGTTGTGCTCCACAGTGAACTGTTTTTGTAAAACTTTCCTCAGTGTAACACCACTTTGATCTGTAAATAATAGATCACACAGCAATTACTTAACTACTGAGCTAAATCTCAACAAACCCCGTGCGAGAAAAAAGGTGTTATGGCTTGTTTCGTGGCGAGACTTCTCATCGTCACCAAGTCTTAACAGCTTAATTGTTGATGTTTTAAAGACCCGCTGTTCTCTTTCACACACAGACTGTGTAACAGTCGTGAAGGTAAGCATGCAGAGTATGCGGCACCTGAGCCAACAGAAACCTAACCTGGCAATTAGCGCTGAACTCTAAATTCTCGTGGTATGGGGTAATCATTTGATTAACACAGGAAGGATTATAGATGGATGATAAATGTGTTTTCACAATGTGTCAGATTGGGTCTAGTCGACACTTGTTTGCCCTCAGGACGTTACCGTGTTTGTGCTTTTTTTCCTCCTCATAAACAACATAGTGATGACATTTTACAACATGGAACTAAAATGCAATATGCAAATCTTTGGGAAAAACATGTTGGATGAACTGTAAACATAAGAAATTAAAGAAAAAAAAACTAAAAGAGAAAACTATTGAAATCTCTGGACCATACCAGATCATTTTGTTCTGTGAGTGAATATTCACATCTGGCTCCTATAGCCAGAAACAATAGAAAACAGTTTTGTTAATCCTCGAATCTGTGATGTCATACCAATGTGCTGCTCCATGATGATCTGGAGGAGATGGGGAAAGGTGGCCTCAAATGTTGCATTGACATCCTCGGGGATGTCTGTTATTAATTTGTGTTTACTTTCACCTTTTTAGTCTAAATGTGAACATTCTGAAATGCATTGTGGGTTCACAGCAGAAGACAGATGTGTGTAAAGTGAAACTCAAAAGCCTGAATTCATTCTCAGACATAACTCAACGCGCCACAGATGGAGCGCTCAGATACTCAGCTCCACTGTGATTATGCAGAAAGGCAAACTCTAACTTGCTGAAATTTTACCAGCAACATTTTTGTGCAGATGCACAGCGGGGAGAATGTTTGTTCCAGGAATCTCACGTTGAGAGTGAAATAACATTCAAAGAAGATGTATTGGTGGCTTTTTGAACTGGTTTTTGCTTTAGTCAGACTTCAGACTTAAAGGGACAGTTCACCCCAGAATCTGAAACACATTTTCTCTTACTTGTAGTGCTATTTACCAATCGAGATTGTAATTATGCAGTGTTGGAAATATCGGCCATCTGCCTTCTCTTTCTTTTCTCTTTCTTGAAATCATGATGTGAGTACACAAGAAAATCTACAGACCTTGTTTTGAGCAGTTTCATGTTGGAGCTACAACACTTGCTAATTGTATCACCGTGCAGAAGGAAGTGTGCATCTACTTATGGTAGAGAGGTTCGTGTTTATGACGGCACAAGAAGTAAACAATGTTCTCCTCCTCGGCTGAGCTGTAACAGTAGCTAGTTTAGTGATGCTAGGTAAGGGATTAGTAGATGCACACTTCCTTCTGCGTGCTACGCACAAAATGCGGCCTGAAAGAGGCGTACGCCACTTCCCACGCAAAAGTTGTGATCTATAAAAACAGACTTGATGGGAGAAACTTTGACCCATGCTTGTGAACATTTTTGGGATGGGAACTTTGCGACGCAGATGGTGAGGAGAAAGCCTGATTGTAGAAACTGTCTAATATTTTTTGGCACAAACCTTTTTTTGCTTTTGTCTGCAGGTACATTTTTAGTATGGATCCTGCACATTGTTTTATAATTTAGACCCCAGGTCATGGTTTCTTGAAATAGGCACTGCTGTTGAATCTTTCTATTTTACTTTTGTGGCACTTTGAGCACAATAAACTGAGTGCCATCTAGTTTCTTTTTATTCAAGAGAAGACAGACATCTCTACGGCCAATATCTTCAACACTCTGCAACTCATCCCAAAACGATGTAGGTTAAAAGAAAAAGAACAGTTAGAGGAAAAATGTGTATTTTTGATTTAAGGGTGAACTGTCCCTTTAACATGAGCTGTAAGTCATCACAATGACTTCTGCATGACAAACTTGCATGGTTAATTGATGGATGCCTTTTTAACCCCAAACCTGTGTGTATAATTGCAAATATGTCTTTACCTGTGCAGAACCCTTCATATCAAAACAGCCAACTAATTTCATCAGTCTTTTAGAAACAATTTTTTATTGTCAAGCGTTGTATGGACCATATACTCGAGAGGTGTCGATTTCAGCTGGCCAGTGAAGCAAAGGGACGAAGTATCGTAACACACACTGGCTGTCAGGGAAGGTGGGAAGCATGTGTCTTGCCAAACTTCCCTCCAGTCACTTCTAACTGCCCTCAGTTTCAGCAGAAGTGGCAAATGGTCTGTGCTGGCATTCAAAACATCTGTGCAGCCTGACTACTGGTGGCAAGGCCCCAGAGACCTGCCTGCCTGCACCAGCCTCTTTTGAACTGCAGATCCAAATACACTGCACTTATTGGAATGGCATGTAGCTGCTATTCTGAAGGGGGATCCTCTGCTACGCCTTTGATGTCCACCACTGTGTCCAAAGCAGGCAAGCCATTCTCTCTGCACTCTGTTTTCCATTTAGACAAGAGATTTTTCTATTCTGGAAAGGGATTTTTGAAGTGAAGCAGACAAAGAACAGATTTACATGGTTTAGACAGCTATGCTGTGCCTGGTGTAAGTAAGCCTGTAACTGAGGACTGGAGGATACCACTTGTTAATGGAGAGCATAATGAAGTAGTGTGGTGTATTTCATTAGTAGAGAAATTAAACTGGAGTATTTTCTATGTATTTTAGACTAATTCAGACATTTGTTATATTGTGATGTTTGTGGGATAGTTTGGGCAGCCTTGTTCAGGGTATAGGGGTATCAGTGACTGAATATGATATGATATCAGTTGTATCATTCATCCAAAGTGTTGAATTACTCCATCCTGCTCATCGGTATCTACTGCCATTCTTTACAGTAAGTGAGATGACACTATGACCAGTTTAACTCACTTTGCTTTCTCGCACCTATGGGCATCAGATGGGCACATTTGAGTTATATGTCAGCTGAAGTAAGTTCAGGGCCTCAAAATTAAGACTCATAATACCCAGAGCTGCAGAGTGAAATGAATGATGACTCTGTGTTGGTTTTCTTTGGCTATTCTTCGGATATTTAACACATTTAAAACACAGGCTGGTTGATACAGAAACTGTGATGAAGGGAAAAATGAAATTAGAAAAATAAAATGTAACTCATGGCATGCCACAACAGAAATTTAATTTGTTTGGCACTGCTGCTGTTTCACTGTCATGGTCCTGCTACAGCTGCGTTACGCGCCATTTGGCCGCAGCATCAAGGATAACTCATGAGCAAAATCAAATATGTGTATACATGGTTTTATCCCAGCTGGAATGACACTGACAAATAATCAGTGACACTAATGAGAACTTGTTAGTCGTCGTCAGTAACATTATTGCTCCACGTGTGCCCAAACTGAGTGTACTGACTTCAAAGGTGACAAGCAATATTATATGCGTGGTCGTCTCCATGCCTCGGGGCTCAGTGAACTGTCACCCACGCTGAAGCCGCAGCATCCCCGCTTGGTGCATAATTTGACACAGCGACCTGTCCTTTGAAGCGGACAATAAAAAAGTCTCACGAGGGCTAATCACATTACGCACCATTTGTCTCGCTTAAGTGAAGTGTTACAGCACCTTCCGCAGAAGCGTTTTAATCAACCACTGAGACAAAGCTGCTGCTGCTGCAGCACACATGTCAACAGGAGAGGCAGACCTCCTGTAAGGCGCCTCCGAGTGTCTTCCTCCGCGCTCAGATGCGCCTGTGTGCCCAGTGCGCCTCCGGGGACCGGGACCACCAGGGTTACTTGAGGTTCTTTCAGGAAGTCTTTATTTTGCAGTGGCACCTTTTTTTAATAATACAATGCTGGGATGACTCAACTTGATTCGTGATTTAATGTCTACTGAAATGTGGAAACTTTATAAATCTGTCCTGATGTTCTCTGAGATATTTTGTGGTTTTGAAAATAAAGCTCTGTCATTTTGGTCCTGTGACTATAAAGGACTTAAATGTATCTCATTTGCAATGGGAAAGTAGTATTCACTTTGGGGCTGTTTCACACACGAACTTCCACAAGTATATTTGGTGTTAACCCAACCGGACACCAGTTTGGAGAGGACTGGTAGAGGGGTCGAAAGAGTTAACCAGGGGGAGGGCGCCTGCACAGGGGCGTATAGTATAAAACCACCTCAAGAGCGCACATCAAGAACAGCGTGTGTTTTAGTAAGCCTTAGTTTGATATGGTTTGGCTTGTTTCCTCCAACAGGACTCGTTAAAGACGCGCGCCAGCCCGTGCCTTCATTTTGGTGGGCTCCTGGTCCGCAGCATAATGGATGAACACTGTTTTTGAAGAAGACAGAACGCCACCGTGAAGTCTTAACTGGGAAGAGGTATTTTTTTTAACTACCTGTACTTCTTTCTCCAAAGGTGTAGTCTCGTCGAGTTACGTTGGACGGCGCAGAATGTGGACAAAACAAGACGTGCGTAAAGCGGCTGAAGTGGAAGTGAGGAACCGTGAAGTGTGAGGCTGTAGAATGTGGCGGGGACACCACGGGACAACTGGGCTGCAAGTTTCCTGAGCTTGGAGATTTGACGAGGGCGCAACAAGAGGGGGAAGTGTTAATGCTGGATCAGCCCCGCAGTCAGTAAACTGGCAGATGAGCGCGTTAACTCATATTATACTTGGGTTAAAATTAAACTACATGAATAGTCAGTAAAAGAGGATAAATCTTAATTTAGGACACAGTTTGCCAAGAAACCCAACTGGATCCAAATCAATTCACATCACTTTTTCCAAATTGTTCGACTGCCCCCCCACCTCCCCACCCCCTCCGATCCTTTTCCCTTCATTTTTGCAATTCTGATTCCCGAAGTGGCTCCGAAGTGGTGTTGCGGCTCCTCGTCCCCGGCGGATCCGGAGATTGGAGTCTCTGCACCGGGAGGAGGCGGAGTCGGAGCTCCGTCCACACCGCAGGCTCCCAAGAGCGGCCGCGTCAAAAGGATGGTGCGACTGGCGGCGGAGCTGCTGCTGCTCCTGGGACTTCTTCTCCTTACCTTGCACATCACGGTCCTGCGGAGCAGTCCGCTGCCCCAGGGAAATGAAACTCTGAGCCTGGATCAGGACACAGCACTTACAGAGGTGAGTTGGGAAAGCTGTTAGTGAGTTGCGTTTGGGATTTCTTGGGGGCAATTTTGATGCGAAAGGTGATATCTGAGGGGTCTCATTTGGTCACAGATGGATTTGATAAAATGCTCACTTGAGCCAGGTAAAACAAAGACTCCATTCCTGTGAGTCTTTGGGGATTGTTGACATACACACGGATGTGGTCTCCCCAGGGTGTCCCCCGGGAATGGCAGGGAGCCAGCAGAGGGATGGGAGATGAGGCAGGGTCAGAGATCAGCCCCCTGCACCAGACGCACCTCCCTATTGTTGGGGGTTAAATGCTAGCTGCAGGCACTTCTCTGTCATCATGGGCTCATCACTGTCATCCAGGGTCAGAGCTGAAACCCGGAAGGTGCCCCCACCCCTACCCCTACCAACACACATGCCCCAGAGTTGTGTTTGGAGCAGAGTCTGGCATCAGACTTCTGCCCTGCTCTCAAGTCTAACTTGTTTTATTTGATCCTGCACTACACTCACATGTGTAAGCAATGCCACATGGACAGATCAGATGATAATGTTCAGTGCTGAGGGAAAGAAATAGAAGAATATAAAGACGCAGGTTTTTAAAATCTTTTGACACTGATAGTGTGATGAAAATACTGTTTTAATGACACATCTTTTGGGTTGTGGTCCAGTTTGGAATGAGCCTCAACAAAAGCTCACAAGGAAGACCTTTGTCAACATGACACCCACTTTAACAGTTTAACTGCCCATTTTAACATCAGCATAAAACATACAGACTCTCTCATAGAGCCTCAGATCCTGACTTTAGGGTTAAGGCAGGTCTGAGATCAACAGGCTTTTTCAGAGAGTGTTCAGCATCCTACAGCTGCTTTTTGAAGTATATTTAGCATGATACTGACACACGACATCATGCCCCAGTGATTAATGGGCATTTATGCTCACTGGATCGGCGTCCCTTCATATATTCTTTATTAGGACAGAAAGAATTTTTACTTAAACAGAGGAAGGTGAGGCTAATTTCTCTTATCACCACTATCACTGCCATCACTGTGGACCGGCCTGCTTATATGCAGCAGCAAGTCTGTGTTCAGCTGGATATCAGGGCATGCAAAGCTGAAGAAATATTCCAGGAATTTATTGAATATTTGTCACACAGCCAATTGTTGGATTGGACGAACAGGATGAGGACCAGGAGGGAGTTTCTCCTGAGGAAACTGCAGCAAGAAATACTAAACACATGCCACTCATTCCACCTCCTACATCCCCTTTGTCACTTGTCCAAATTTACATAGAGATTCTGGCTTGTGATGAAAGAGCCCGACATTGTCGCTCATGCCCCATATTGAGAAAAAGCACTGATTGTTTTTTTGTTTGGTTTTTTTTTGCTTGTGACTTCTCCAACTATGATATGCCTCACTGGCCCCCCACTGAAGGCGGTGATGTCATCTTTCGGCCAGGCCTGTCACGGCCCAGGGGGTGTATTGTCATTCCAAGGTGTCATATTTAAAATGCCATTCACAGCAACACAAATGACAGGATGCGGCTCCATGCACCTGTAGTGGAGAGAGGAAATGCTTTGGTCCAAGGCACATTATCATCACTGACCCAGGAAGGCAGATTCAACCACTGTGATAGAGTAAAGTTAGCGTTATATTATGATAAAAAAAAAAATAACTTTATTTGTCAGCTAAGAATATGCAATTACTAACAGTAAATAACGAATCATGGTTTTCCACCCCTGAGCTTGTTTTCTTCTGATTCTGAAGAAGTAAACTCTGAAGTTAACTCCTTCATAGCACGTATGTTCCCAGTTTGATCCTGTAAATAAACACATACCTAAGTCCAGCATGAGGCGTGTGACAGGGGGAAGGATAGTTTTCTCTTCCACCTACGTAAGTGTAGTGTTGAAAAGCATCTGGCACAATGTGCACTGCCTTCATTTCCTGCCAGCCTCCCTGGGGGAAGGACCCCTGAGTTGCTCCCAATTGAAAATGGAGTCATGCCCCTTTAAGTAGCCCTCACAAAGTGAAAAAGGGGGAAGCGGGAAAAGAAGAGGAGATACTGCGAGGAGGGAGAAGGGGGTGGCTTGTGTGTGCAAGTGTTCATTCATGGCTTTTGAGAGTGTGTGTGTGGGGGGGGGTGACATCCTGGGAGGCCCCAGATGAACTGAGGAATGGTGTGTCACTTTTGATCTCCAAATTAAAGCATGTTCCTCGTTGAGGAAGCTCTCAGATGAGTGATAGGGACTGTAACGCAGCCCCGCCATCAAAGGGGAACACTGCTGATTTTCTATCATTTAAATGAGTTACTCCTGTGCACTGTTACAGTCTGGGCCGTATTAGAGAAAAATGAGCAAACAGCATGTTTTTCTCATTACGCTGTGTTAAAAAGCTCCACTGAGAGTCGCATGGAAAAGACAAAGAGAGGTGTTTATGTCGACATTATCAGAAATTTATACATAGCTGATACACAACTGCGATTCCTTTCTGATTACTCATTCCCACGTTGCGCATTCTTTCCGTTATTTTCAACTCGACTAATTCTCCTCAATCGTTCTGCTGAAATACTGATTGAGACAGAAAAAAAGAATTTGTTATTAGGGCGTATAAAATTTCATGGTTTGTCCTTCACACTGCTGAGCTCCCAGATGGAAATAAAGATTTAGTGAAATCTCAGTGCTTATGGGGGAAAGCAGCTTAGATCTCCCTGTTTCTGTCCAAGTGATGGACTGTTTTCAGCAAGACAGTCTCACAATTTTCTTATTTACAATTCAGCTCAAGGCTTTAATCAACAGCATTATATTTAAGGCTGAAATTTTTCTAGATTTTGGCAAGAATTTGATAGTATTTACTGCAGTGAGAAAATCAGCATATGCCCTGTTGGCACCAAGGACAGTGAGACAGTTAACAGTATGTCAACACTGTGTGCACACACCAGTCGCACATGTAGTCTAAGCTTTAACTGTTTAAGGCTGAGCAGCTCTCTTAATGAAGTGTCTGATGTAGCTTCTGCACAATTAGAGGTGGGAAAGCAATCTGGCATATTGTAAAATAACAGCTGGTTATTGCATTGTCTTTTTTTTTTTTACACCTATATGAATGTCTTCAAACATAGCCTTGCCTCACCATGGATCAGTTTATAACTTGTGTAGCTTTTTAGCAAACCGGGAACACATGTCCCACAGCACACTGTAAGTTTGTAATGACTTTAATACATCTGTCCAAGGGGATAACACAGACTTGTACAATGAACCAGTCTGCTGTCAATGTAACGTAGCACATCAGAATCCATTAACATGTGATTTAGATAGTCAACAAATAATTTAAACTTGAAACTGGGCGTTAATTTTAGTGGTTACAGAGGAAGTAGTTTGGTTGCAAATTATTACAGCTTCATTCAAACCCACAGAACTTCTTCAATATTCAGTATATTTTCTGTTTTAAAACACCACTCAGAAATTCTCCCACATGGGGCATTCTTACTGTACCATCTGCAAGATAATCTATGGTCTAAACAAAAATAAACCACATTAAACTACCAATGTTTGCCCATAAACTGACGATTCACTGTGTTTACAAGCCCTGCCAGTGAGGCATCATCACGAGTGTTGCCCTGGGATTAATCAAAGCGCTTTTAGTTTGACTTCAAATAAACCAAATTTGTGTCAGGATTAGATAATCTGCCTGCCATGTGTAACACAGCATAATATGACACAACAGAAGATTTAGATTAGACTGGATAATGGAGGATTAATCGGCTGGCAAACACTCCGATTGGGTTTCAAGACCCAACAGTTTGTGTATTCTGAAACATTTGTGGTGGCATCTGCTTTCTTTTCATAGACCAAGTCATAACTCAGTGGCAGTCATGTATGTGAGCATGCAACCCAGCCGGCAGAAAAAATGTTGGCATTGTACATTTATGCAAACCACGGATATGTTGCATTTACATGTTATGTCGCAGATACGTTGAAACTTTAAGTTTAAACAATGCTGTTTTAATTTGTGTGGTTAGGTTTAGACACGAAAAACACTTGGTTATTGTTAGGGAAAGATCGTGTTTTGACCTGAAATACCCTATTTTTGGTGCACAATCCTGGCAGGAAATGTAGCAATGTTTAATTAAAAAACAACAGCTGTCCATGGCACTATCTCCTACGTTTGATGCCCTAAAAGCTGTTGAAAAAACAGTGATGGGCCACAACAAGACACCAATATTTGGTGCCATAAAGCTGCTGGAACAACAGCGAAGGGATACTATAAAACACCCATGTTCGGTGCCTAAAAAGCCAGTGGGAGAACAGCGAGAGGCCGCCACAAAACATCTACACTTGATGCCTAAAAAGCTGCTGGAAAAACAGTGATGGGTCGCCACAAAACACCTATGTTTGATGCCTCGAAACTGCTGGAAACACAGCCATGACATCTCATCCACCTCCTGATGACAAAGTCAGCGCATATACTGCGTCTCTTTAGAAACACAGATATGATACATGTGAAACGTGCAAATGTAACATTTGTGGTTTACAGAAACGTGCAATGCCAACATTGTCTTCTGGTGACTGGGCTGCTGTGTGTTAATCAGCAGCCAGAGCATTTCTGGATGAATTTCCTGAAATGACAAGATGACATGATGGTAAAACAAAAGAAATTGTCTCGTCAGTAGCTGTGAAGTGTGTGGAAGTTAAGTGTTTTCTGGCAACGAGTTTAAATGACTGTTTGTAGGATCATGAAAACAGTAATGTCTGGACTGAAGAGCAACTTGTGTGGTCTGCAGTTAAATGCAAATATAATCCATAAAAAATATAATCCACGCAGAGGAGATCAACCACAGCTGTTTACTTTATTCACAAGTGTGTGTTATGTAGTTACATTGTGACTGAACCTGTAAGTGCTGTGTTAGGCCTGCTCCCTCAGTAGAGCTCAATTACAGCCACCGATTGACTTCTGAAGGCTGGGAACTTGAAAGACGGGGTTATCACGTGGGCATCTCAAAGCCTGAGTACTCGTGATAGAACCAGAGAGGGTCCTGTGATGGTCACATAAAGGCTTAAGAGCTGATGCCAAAACTATGGTGTTGAAATGATCTTTTTTTGTATGAGCCCTCAGCCATAATTTCTTGGTTATGGAAAAGACATTTGTGGTTCTGATTGGAACCTGGTTTTTCAGAATCATTTTCTTCAGATTTTATGATTTGGAACATAAATTCTCATAAAAACTCATCATCTTATCTAAAACCTCTGCCTCTTTTTATTTGGTGGCTACAGACAAAATGCACAACCATCCACTCTTCATCCTTAAAATTATGGTCAGTAGTATAATTATTGTAATTGTGGCGGCTCAGATTAGGACGTGTGATGTGAAAGTTTTTAAATTCTTTGAAATGCATCATATTATCACATTAACTCCATCTGGTCTCTGGTGGTGAATTAAGAAAAGTAACGCTAAGTGGAATATGGGAGTTTCTCTGTGCAGCCACCATCCCCTCTGCGGTTGAATTCAAGTTACATGTACATTTATAATCCTTCCTCCCTCGCTGTGCAGCTCCATTTACGGCGTCTATATTGTCCCAGAGTGCACCTTGGCTGGACACAAACAGCTCCACTGGGGGCTTTTATGCCCACCACAATGTGGCTGAGCTGACACTTTGTCTGTGACTGGCCACCGCAACCGTACAGCACTGCTGCCATATTCTCAGGCCTCAGCCCGGCCACAAAATCACTAGGGAGGAAGAAATGGGACATGAAAAAAGAAAACAAGGAACATGATTGATGGCTTTCTTTGATCTTATTTTCTGCCACCCCAGAATGGATGATTGCCGACTTCTTACGGCTGTCTGTCCAATTGAGGAATTATTGTTCGCTCTGTGCATACCTGACAAGGGACATATGTCCTCAACTGTCCTTTTGGGATGAATTTACAATCCCCACGGTCAGAAGACCAAATGTTTTTCTGTCGTCAAGAAGGCAGATGTAATTATTTTGCAATGTTTGCTTAGGTTTCTCAGTATAGCCCCAGTGCAGGAAGCCCATCAGTCTTACATGCTCTTTTCTCCCAGCAAGCACTAGAGCATGCTAAAAATGTCCACATCATATAACTACGGTAAAGCAGTGGCATACTCTGTCAGTTAAAAATGGAAAAATATACAGTCTTACTGTGACATTGGCTCTGAAATTATATTTTGGTGGAAGCAGACAGACGCACAGAACTCAGCGAATGTTTGTCTGTTTCAGTGGCTCCTTCCTTCTGGGCTCCAAGGAGCTAAGAGTCCACAGGATTTATGACAGGGGTCATGGCCACATGGACCTCTGTCAACATCAATCTAATGTTGCTGAGTGTGCAGACTCTGTAGATGCCAAGTGACAGGGTCCTCAGTCTAAACATTCACTCAAAAGGGAATTGTATGTTTTCTATAAATATTCTCTCATGTTGTGAATGCACAAACAATAAAACTTGAATGTTATGTCCCTTTCTCTCCTCAGCAGAACAATATAAATGCAAAAAGCAGCTCCTCTGCCCAGCTGGCTCCTGAAGATCGGAGGTCTGGTCCAGAACATCGATTGGCCCACCGACCTGCCTCCCTCCCCTGGGCACAAGGCAGCAACGTACACAGGGACGGTCCTGGAGCTTTCCTCCTAGATCTGCACAACTTCCCCGACCTCTCCAAAGCTGATATCAATGGACAGAATCCCAACATACAGGTGACCATGTGTGTCTGTGCACCTGCTTTGATGCTTTCATTCACTTGTAAGACATGGCTACTCAACCACATAGGACAGGAAGAGCAAACAGGAAGAAGGAGAATAGTTTGGTGCACATCATTACCCCCTTTTTCTCCATCTTCCTTCCCCCTGTCCCCCTTCACACTTCCTGGCTCGTAGTGAAGCTTAAGATAGACACTGAGGTCTCACGTCCATCATAATGACAGCTGAAAGGCAGACAGCAATGCCTCACTACTAACCCATGTGCAGGAAGACAGACGGCAGCTTATGTAAATGTGTGGCAAGCCCTTGCCCATAAGTCCCTCAGTGGTGCAGATGGCCGAGTAACCGCTGCCATGTTTAAATCATTCTCCTGTCTAATCCAGCAAGGGGGTCTTTCCATTTCTGAGAGCATCACTGCTAAATCCGAGCACGAACAAAGTGTATTAACATCTCAAGATGTGGGAAGAGAGCGGAGCAACCAATTGAGCAAGGGCGTGAGGCTGTAGGAGAGGGAGAGGAGGAGAAGGGGGGTGTCTTTGATCCTGGGATTCATCTGGCTTTCATGGTCTGGAGGAGGCTGAGTAGCCCTTTGAACTTTGTGTTTAGGTGGAGAGAGCCCAAGAGGTGGGAGGGTGACTGTGGGGCAGGGGTGGTGGTCCCCCCTCATCTGGGAGGCACATGTGTTAGGACAGAAAGGGGGAGGGGGTGATATTGTGCATGGGGGTATCAGAAAGTGTCACCTCTCGGCATCTGATCGACTTATTCTGTTCCAAAATGCTTTGTAAGTATCTCCTTTGACGACTCTGTTGAATATTGACTTTAAATTGACTTCTGTTCTCAGGTGACCATTGAAGTGGTGGACGGACTGGAGAGTCATGAGCCAGAAAAAGGCCTACGTAAAGAGAGCAAACCCAGCTGGGCTTCTCCGAACTGGAGAAACTGGTGGCCTCACACTTCTTCATCCTCCTCCTCCTCCTCCACCACTCAAACAGAAGAGCACGATCGCACCTACGGGAGCAACAGCGAGGACAGCAACTTCCTCCGGCCGCCGGCAGACTGGGACAGGAGGGGAGGCACCGGGGGAGGCAGCAAAGCTCAGACTGAATATGGTGAGAATGACAGGAGATGTGTTTGCAAGGAAATGAGTGCACAATGCACATGGCAGAATATTTAGCTGGGTCTATAGGCTCTCATTTGAGGACCAGTCTCCAGGGTTTTCCACAGATGGCCATAGTCTGATGTGGAATCTGTAATTTGCAGATTTGCTGATTTAAGCTGTCACCATAATAAGTGCAGTCATCCCAGGCGAGCCCTTGGGAGCCCCTGATTGAAGCCTTTAACACTTTTTTATGAGATGGATTTTTCTGTGGTGCGGAGCTAGCTACGTGACACAGTTTAAACGCCTTTGCTACATCAAAGTTTAGCAGCAGGAATGGGGCCAGAAGCACTGTTAGGCTGCCACACCATCCTCACAACACTCTCCAAAAGTAACCCTACCGATAAATCTGCTGCAGAAGAATTTACACTCACTGTCATACAGTATGCGTCCTGCCCGTGTTGTAGCATGCCCAAACCAACATGGTCGAACAGGAATGCATATGCTGTGGAAAATGTCATTTTATCCACTTGCACTTGCGCTACAGTGGTTAAGGGAGGCGATTTTATAATCGTTTTTTTGTCAAACCATAGCCCATGTGTAATGTTTCTGGCTTATCGCTGCGGTCAGCTCTCATTCATAGTCTATTTCATACCACACTATGGACAAGAAAATATTTTATCATAATTTCTGTCCTGGTTTTAAACCTAATAATCATAACTGTGGACAGGCAGTGGTCCTCCACTCCATCACAGGCCATTGGCGGTACATTCAACCGTCTCATCTGTGGTCTGAGGGCAGGCTATTATCAAGTCCTCTCAATTTTGATTTTTGTCAGAGCTGCCACCAGCTTGTTGGCCATAGTAAGCTATGGAAGGGGGAGGGGAGATGGCGCTAGATGGCTATCTGGCCTGTATTCATACAAAATGCTCATAATGAGGGGCAGATGGCAGCAGGGGTGTTGGGGGGGTGTATAGGAAGGTTTGGACTCCTGCCAGAAATACTTCCATCCCAACATGCCCACATTAATTCTCCTCATTGATGGAGTACTGTTTTCAAGATGTGTGTGTGCGTGTTTGTGTGCGGTAGCGACAGTGGTGGTAGGTCGAAGCGGTCGTCAAGCCCAGTGTAACTGTTTCCATGTACACCCATTACAGTGATCTGCTCAATGATAATTGGAGTTAAAGAGGATTTCTTGCCATTTCACTTCCTATTTTCAAAGCAATGAATCACAGATCGAGCAACTGAATGGTGTCCAGTGCCACTGTGCCAGGGGTGTTCAGGCAGTGCAGGAAATTTCTATTTGTAAATGCTGTAGCGCCTTAAGTAAGGATGGACGTTTTGTTTCAACACTGGGGGAAGGGAGACAGATGAAGCAGGGGGTTTGGGGTCCTACACCAGGAAATTTTGAGAATCAAACACTTTGTTTCCTGCATTCTGCTGACTTTTTATTTGCCCGCATTTTCTCTATCAATTTGTGGTGCATTTCTGTCAAAAATGTAATTATTACTGCTTCTTTAATGATTTTAAATAATGGAGGACATCTTCTAAATATTAAGGGGGACATGTCCCCTGTGCCCCCCCAAAATCTGTGCCCATGGACTGTAGCTTTGTTGGAATTAGCAAAATGCTTCCCTGTTACTTCGCTAACTGAACACACATACTGTGCCCTATGCCGTGTACAGCATGTGTGCATGTATGTGTAGACAGGCTTGCGTGGTATCTGCTTTGAGGGCCGAAGTCAAAGAGAACTTTGAGCTCCCCCACTTCCCCTTTCATGTGCTCCCCCCCACTTATTATTAGTGAGGCATGCTAACAGGCCTGAGTAGGTTCAGCATGTGGCCTGCATCAGAGCTGAGGATCTTTTTCTCTCGTTCTCTCTGGTCCAGACTATATGGATGGAGAGGGGGACTGGAGTAACTGGACAGCATGCAGCGTCACCTGTGGAAACGGCAACCAGAAGAGAACCAGGTCATGTGGTTACGCCTGTACAGCCACCGAGTCCAGAACTTGTGATATGCCCAACTGCCCAGGTAGAGTCTTGATTGTGGATCACAGAGAAAAGAAAATCCATACCAGTAAAGACGGGTATTAGAGGATAGTTTGTAAGTGGATGAAATGATTTAGTGGTCTTTCATCTTTTGATCCACCTTTCACTGTGCATTCATCTCTCTAGGTATTGAGGATGCCTTCAAGACAGCAGCTACTGAAGTGAGCCTGTTAGCTGGAACAGATGAGTTCAATGCCACTGAGCTCTTTGGTGTTGGTAAGATTTTTGCTCTTGTCTTACTGCAGACTATCCCTCATTCAGATGTTCTTACACTATCAAAGACAGTTCATCCATCTGGCAGCAGTGTTCCTGCACACACTTAGCATTCCTCATGCTCGGGCTGAGCTCCATTACTGTGTAGAGATGAAAATGTGCAGCAGGGCAGGAAGAGCACAGTATGGCGCTGCCCACTCTCTCTCTTTGTCTGTCTGTTCTTAATCAACCCAGTGAAAACACACCTTCATGTTAAACATTACACCTTCTTACACTTGTGGTTTCATCTTCTAATGTTGGGAAGGAGATGTAGCATTTAACAGCGTCTTCTTTTCTTCCAGATACAGACAGCTGCGAGCGGTGGATGAACTGCAAGAGCGACTTCTTAAAGAAGTACATGACCAAAGTGGCGAACGACCTTCCCAGCTGCCCTTGCTCTTACCCAACAGAGGTGGCGTACAGTACGGCAGATGTACACGATGCTCCCACGCGCCGGGATTTCCGTTGGAAAGACGCCAGCGGGCCAAAAGAGAAACTGGAGATCTACAAGCCCACGGCCCGTTACTGCATCCGCTCTATGCTGACGCTGGAGTCCACCACGCTGGCGGCGCAGCACTGCTGCTACGATGACAACATGAAGCTCATCACTCGTGGCAAAGGGGCCGGCACGCCCAACCTCATCAGCACAGAGTTCTCAGCTGACCTGCACTATAAAGTGGACATCCTGCCCTGGATAATCTGCAAAGGAGACTGGAGCCGCTACAACCAGGCCAGGCCGCCAAACAATGGGCAGAAGTGTCCCGACAACCCTCAGGACGAGGACTACTACAAACAGTTTGAAGAAGCGAGGGAATTCTAGCCAGCTGCAGAGCAAAAGGAACAAACCCACACTGCTTAAATATTCAGCTAAACCTCAAAAATGGTGCTGAAACCATTTTTTCAAAATTCTCTTTTAGATCAAACAACACAAGAACTTTAAGGCTCTGAGGAACAAGACTTACAGAACTGCTCTTTTGAACCAAGAGGAATAAAAATCCAACAGAGTCAGAACACTCACTTGCTCACAAGAAACTTTTCGTGACTTCACCAAAACCAGGCACAAAACATTGCTCTACTTTTGTTTTTGTTTTTTTAAAAACATTTTTATAAAATATGCCTCTGAAAAAAAAAATCAAAATTTTGCCACCAATAATAACTCTTTCAGATCAGGTCGCTAAAGGGAGAACTGAGTTCGTATTCTTAAAAAGGGAAAATTATTATTCTAGGAATGTCTGTTTAGATTGTGTCCATGTTTGTCTCCATAGATTGTTTATGTTTGCTGAATCTGAGAGGTCTGTGGTAATAGAGTAATGAGATCCTTCAGGAATGTGTTTGGGGGTGGGGGTGGGGGTGGGCAGGTTGGAGACCAGGGTTATCGAATTTTCTCCCGTTTTGTCATTCACAATATCCAGGTTCTCATGTAAGCTTGTGAGATTATTTAGCATGCACATTTTTTTTTTTTTTTTTAAATTTACAATTAATTTACAACCATGTCCCTTGTGTCTCCGAGGGCAGCCTGCGTTATTTTTGTAAAGTATTTATTAAGTTGTAGCTGTGTCTGAGTTGGGTGTCTATGACTGTGGTTTCTGATTCACATATGGCTGAATGCTAACTTGAGATTCCGCTCTCGCTCAAACATTGGCGTCGATGTGCGTGTCTCAAGTTGGGATTAAACCATAATAGAGCGTAAAGAATGTGTGAATTCAACTGTACGGAAAGATTTTTGAGATATAAATCTATAAATAAATTTTTTAAAAAGCCAATGAATGTGTTTGTTAGAAAAAAAAACTCTGCTTGAATGAGCTTCATGGCAAACATCTCATAAAAGAGCAGTGCGTAAGATTTAGGGGGATTCTAGTGGTAAGGACCTCAGATTTCAAACAGCTGAAACTTCTCCCGGTTAGAATTCCTTCTGTGTTCTTTGTTCAGGAGGTTTCTACCAGGAGTTGAATTATCTGGTAAACTGGTAAAAACACTGAATAAAGCAGTTTCATGTTAAATCAATGTGTTTTTGACGCACTTCGGCTTGTCGGAGATGGGCTGCTATAGCCCAGCAACTGCTAATGTGAGCTCACAATATTTCTCTGATAACTTGAGATCCAGACATTTGAGAGGTTCTCTCCAAAGCAAATAGACCTGTTGATTTAAACTTGTTAAAACACTGAATAAAGCACCGTTGAAAAAATTTGGCCTACCCTGCTTGTTGCAGATGGGTTGCTAACTACGGTTGCTAAAGTGAAAATGAGAATGGCCCTATGTAGAGCTATGTAGAGGACTACTGTACAAACATAACAGTGCAACATGACACTCTCCACAGATGAGGACCTGCTCCCTATGTAGATATAAACAGCTCATTCGAAGGTAAAACATGATTCTTTTTTTTCAGGTGACTATACACTAAAGAAAACATATGTATTATATTCCATTTCTGTCAATATATCCCCCTAAATCCTACACACTTGACCTTTAAAGGTTGTAAATAATGATTTTAAGCAAAGTTTCATCAGCTGCTGTTAGATTTCTCTCCTGCTGTCGAAGGAAATTCATCTCAGAGAACAATCTCATCAATTAAACTCTTCAAACGAGCTTAAGCCAGTGCACAAGACTTCCATTAGTTCCATCCAGTGTGGCTCTCAGGCCAGGCCTTTTGATGGGATTGCGATATTTCTTCAGAGGGCGAGGAGGGTAAGGTTCCCTTGAATGCGACTCAAATTCTTTGTCTTTGGCATGTATCCTCACATTCCTGGGTAATTTCTCAGTGTACACATGCATTCACACACACACACACACACACACACACACACACACACACACACACACACACACACACTCAATGCTGCCTGTCCGTAGCGAGGACCTCTGACCATTCCCTCTCCACTGAGTGCTGCAGTCATTGTCACACAGAGAAAGCCATTCATGGTGCCCTCATTCCTGCAGTCTTGTGTACGGCACAGCTGGCCGGGCGCAGGGCTTGTCTTTATAATGCAGCAGGCCCCAGCACGTTCCACACCCCTGAGGCGCTACTTGCAACCGCCTAGCTGCTTCACTATTCATCAGAAATTCCTCCACACGCGTTCTTCGACCCATTTATGCCCAAATGCAGCCTTTTACCAACAACCCACCAAACACTCACTGTAAATCATGCGGATACATTCTTTTAAAATGCAGATATAATTCTCCCTCAGACTCATAGTGTGTAAATCTCTCTTTTAAGTCTTCTGTCTCTCTCTTCAGTAAAAGCCATGGATGGAGGCTAAGATTACAGTAACTGGCATGGATCGTTATCTTAGCAGACCAACTGCTGAACAGGCCATGGAGATCAAAGTGAGGTGTTTGTCTTTATTTTGAAACATTAGGGCCATGCTCAAATTGATGACATACCTCCCCCTCCACCCCCCAGTATCTCTTCTCCAGACAGGCTCCACGTGTCTCGAGTGCAGGCAATTACTCGTATGCCCTCCTCACTTTTCATCTCTCGTTTCTTCTCCCCTCCCCTACAAACACTTGCACAATATGCACTTTGATTCCCGTGCCAGGGTGTCAGTAGGAATACAGATACAGTACAGATTTAGAGGCTGAGAATAATTGGTGTGAAAATGCATGAGAAGGCAGACATGCTGCAGACCAGCGAGCGCAGAGAAGACTTGTTGCGTTGGCTGTGGGGCGTCAGCGAGGCCTCGCTTTTTGTGTTACTATTTCCAGGACTCTACTCTGGTATGTTTCAAAGGACGCAAAGCACCATATTAGTGGTATATTGTCAAGGATCCGAAAGGGCTCATTAAGCATCACCAAGATATGATTGTTGGTATTTTGCCTCTATTTTTGTTATGAGAAGGAAATTATGTCCAACGTATGTACGCCGTTTTAGACTGAGTTTGACAGGGCTGGCTCTGGGATTTCTCAGTCGATCTCCACACAAGAGTTAACTGTGGGAGTAAGAAAACAAGAGGAGTTAAGAAGAAGAAGAAAGCAGTGGAAACTTGGATGCATTGGTGTTGTAATAAATGAAGAGTAAGCTCAGCTGTTCTCCAACTCTTTTCTGTACAAGTATTTCACATTAAAACAAGCCCAGGTGGTTTGCTGTCCGTGCTGGAGCTCACTGTAGTGCTTCTAGTAGGTAAATAACTGCGGTGCATGGTGGCAATCAAGCATCTCTTTTGTTTTGTGGTGTGGTGCACATGTGGCAGAGCCATTTTTAGCTTCTCTCCCTCACTTTCTTTCACTCACTCCCTCGCGCTGCTACTTTTTTGGGTGGTGTAGCACAATGCAGGAAGTGTCTGGGCCGCAATACCGCAGGGCCCTAACTGCACGGCAAACCTAATTAAAAGGTTTTTCTTTGGTCTTCTAATCTGGAGTAGCTGACCTGGTACGGTAGATTGCTTATCTAGCCGCTCTATCCCGCCTTCTCAGCCTTCTCCCCCAATGTCCTACCGGCATAACAGGGGCAGGGCTGCTGGCACTGTGCCTGCCATAGGCTCACATCTTTGGCTCAGCGAGTCAGTGGAGGAGTGGGTAGTGGTGGTGTGGTGGGGGGGCAGACATGTGCCTGGGTGTGCAGCTGAACAAACAGGTCAAGTAGCTGTGGAGCATCTAAGAGGCTAAGGTGCCTTACTTAACCCCACTGAAATGCTGCACCATCTATGGCAAGAGAGCATACTTGGAATTACAGAATCACCATGCAAAGAACATTATCATGTTAAATGGGCGCAGTGGCGTGATTGGCACCTGCCCCTGGCTCATGTCTTCTACACCAGTCAAAACAGAAGCTAAAATAACATGCACCCACTATTAAATTTGCACACAAAGCTGACGGACAAATTGGGACAAACAGAGGAGAAAAAAGCTGCTTTGCCTCCTTATAAGAGTTATTATATTCAGTCATGCTTTTCATTGAGCTAAACGTATGAGTAATGTACCACCACATGCTTTATAAGCTCATGTGCTCGTAGAAGTGAGTGGAAATCAGTTTCACTTAAGTGCTAATGGATGATCCTGATGCATAGGTGTAGATTTCTGGGGTAACGGGGTGGACACATCCCCCTCAGTAGTTAGAACATGTGCATTTTAACCTCCAATAAAAACATGGAAGTAGCAGACGGCTTTTATTTTGACAAACTTTAAGACATTTATATCATAAATTGGTGCAGAAAAGACACAAATTGGTGCAGAAAAGTTCACCAGAATGCAGGAAATTATGTGTTTGATGCTCTAATTTTTCTGGAGACGGACCCCCAGCCCTGTGTTTTATATGTTTCATAAACTTCACCCTTGTCCCGATGTGCATAAAGGTTAGAGATGTCTAGCTCATCTGATTCAGTTCTGGCTGGGTTTGACAGAGGCAGCAGAGGCACTGTCTGGTTTTAACCCTGTGAGTGTGGATGTTAGACACTGGCACAGTATGGCTGTAGCATGTCCAGGGGGTTGGTGGCCCTTAGGTGGTGAGGGAGGGGGGATAAGCGTGAGCATGGAAGCTGCATGGCCGTGATTCACTGTGACAGCACCGCCTGGCATGTGAGGACAGCAGGCCAAGGCGGGCAAGGCTGCTGCCTTTGATCTTTATTTGCTCCACCGTCTGTTTTGCATTTAAGAGCCTTGCTGAGCGCGAGGCATTGGATACACCTTGAATGGCTCAGGACCCCGTCCACTTTTTAAAGACCCAGGATCCTTTTTCAAAGCTAAGGGGATCCAGGACAGAGAGGGATGAGGTTTGAAGGGGAAGGTTCTGCGCTGAATAGGGCCGAGGGTCTCCCAGCAACACAGATTAGCCCTGATGAAAAGAGAGTGCTTCATAATAACACATGATCAAGCTAATGGAGAATGGTGTGAGTGTGAGTGCAGGTGAGGGGCAAAGTAACATAGATCGCCTTTAAGATGGACCCTCAAGATCAACCTGGGGTCAGGAGGCTGCAGAACAAAAACAAACACACGCAGCACCTCCCCAACCAACCTTCTGCTGCTCCTCCTGACCTGTCAGATGCATTTTGCACGTTACTGTTGTCAACAGACTGTGACATGTTACACCTGAGAGGCAAACTGGCTGGATACAATCAATATGTGGTCCTAGCCCACAGCCAGGCATGCTGCACTGACAGGGAGGCATCTCTCTCTTCAAACGGTGCATATATTTATCTCCTTGAACATCTCTATTGCACATTCCTCTCAGACACTGCAGTGGCCACGATCCAGAGCCAGCAGCTGGACAAACTCTTGCCCTAGAGACTGATTCAATTGATATAAATAACTGCCCTCTCCAATAAGAGCCTTTATGAGGAATCAAATCAACACAACTCAGAAGAAAAAAGGCATTTTGAGAAACACTGGAGAGTGGAAAATGTTGGTTATGTAATCGACACTATTTAAATGTGAAGAAAAGCTGAAATTTAAAAAGAAACAGTGGCTCAGGAAAAGAACAGCTTGTGTGTTTGTGTGTGTGGGTGGGAGCGATGGACAGCATACATTTTTAATACTCATCGAGGTTCCTCAAAAAACACAGATTTCAATATTTCCTCTCTCGCGTTTAAATGTTTCAGCATGCTCACAAGTCTTCCTGCAGAATCCTTTTTTTCCACTCTAGTTACTGTTCAGCATGTAATTTATTCCCAGACTATACATTTTTGGCTATCCACAGCTCAGATCATGATATTTATGCTGTCTGTTTGGGCTTACACAAACTGTTTTCCTTTTCTGGAGAAGGTACAGTGGGAGGAATACAGCCATTCATATTAAAAGTATATGAGGCCCAAATCTGATTTTTTTGGCTCCCATGTGATGCATATCTGATATTTTCAGAGTAGTGTAGACACAGAAATCAGATTTTTTTTCCTATTAGATCTAGGCCACTTTCATATGTGGTACTAAATCCGATCCATAATCAAACAATGGCCATGCAAATGTGAAAAAGTCATAATGGGATTCATATGTGTTTTCTCATACATCCATGTTTTTCCACATCATATTTAACTGTGCAGATGTAGATCACTCACCATACAGTGTCAGAGAAGTCCATAGCCGAGCTGCTGCTACGTTAGGCTGCGCCAGTCGCTAGCCAATTGAGCCCAACTGCCAAGTGCTTTCTGATGGGGACAGCTGGCCCACATGCCATCGCAGCGTTGTCGTGAGGCACTGACAGAGATACTAGAATGAAACACTGGACATCGTAAAGTTTGGAGGAACTGTTCTTCCCTGGAACCCTACCAGATATGAGTCATTCCAAAAATGAATGTGAGCAGTGAAGGTAGAAAGATCGGATATTGGGAATAATCGGAATTTGAGCGTTAAGCCCTGTAATATTAACGTAGCCTATGTCTTCTGTCATGGTGTTCAAAAGACTAAAGACAGACACAGAAATGTAGCAACATAGATTTTATTTACTTTTTGAGCACTGTAGAGAGCTGTGCACATATTACCATTTCCATAGCTTATACCATTTTATATTAGTTGCATTTTCAAGTAAAGAATAAACAAGCTCTATTATGGTTTTGTTGAGACTGGAATTCTTAGTAGTAACTGAGTGAAACAGCAAAACCAGAGGAACTGATTATCCCAACACTAATTTAGATCCTTACTTCTTTCAAGTACAATTCTCAACAGCACCAATTCACGGGCTTGATACATAAATTAGTTTTTAGTGATCATTTTTGTTTTTTAGCAAGAAAATACATGTCTCTGTCGATGTAACTATAGAAATATAAATTGTCATTTTTAAATGATGACTAACAGTCATGTTTGGCGATGGGGTCAAATGCTGCTACCTGAGCACTATGTATGTATCAGCATCAATCTGGAAGTGCATAGCTTCCTGCTTCTTGATCAATTCTACGCCTGTCGGAGAACACAAAGTGGCTTACTGTAGATTCCGCACATGCAATAGCTATGTATTCACATTTAAAAACAATCAAAGCAAAGCATTCTATGGCTGAAATGGTTATAAAATTCATCATGAGCTAAGATGCACATTATGCTACATTATACAGTATGCTGGAGGATTAATAACAATATGTGTGTACAAGTACATGGAAGTCGTACGTGTTAACATTATAAATTGCTTTTATCACTCTCACAGCTATAAATGCTTCACTCATAACAATTATCTGGAGTAGCAGGCATTCCACAAGGTGCAATCTGACATCTTTTTAAACTTGAAAAGTAGCTGAGGAACAAAATAAGGTCTTGCATTTGAAATTCCTAAGTGTCTGAAAATAGTCACATCTGTTCAGCGATACAAAACAACATGAACATCCACCCTGTTTTCCTAAATCATAGCTTATATACAAAAGGAAAAAAAAAAAAAGAATAGGAAAGGAAAGGAGTAATAACAAAAAAATGGTGCATCAAGGCAATGGTGCATCAAGTCTAATCCAGGTGACACTGGAGATCTCGGAAGCAGGGGGGGCATAGAGTACATGCTGGAGGCAGCAAAGGGAAGTCCTGTAAGTGCACTAAGTACAAGCTAACACCCCTCCTTCCTTTCTGGGCACCTGTTAAAACAGCTAAAGCTTATTACTTCTGGTGTCACAGAGGTGGTGGGGAGCTGAGGGCGGTGTGCACGCGTGTGTGGTTGAGTGGAAGGGTTTGTATTGAAGTATTGCTGAAAAAGCCCGGAGGGAGGGCGAATGCAGCTCACTCCACCACACTCATCAGTCTACACACACCTCCTTCGATGGCCAAGCACTGCCCAGGAACGGTCCCAGGTGGTAATCTGGATATGTGTGTCTGTAGGCGACAAAAGAGCACACAAACACTGACACAATGAGAACATCATCCAAGGAAAGATATACATACAGAGGCAGGGCTATATAGTAAAAAGCAAATGCTCCAGTCCAGTTTGAGAAATACATACATCAGATGTCAGGTTCAGATTCACCAGAAGAATTTTAGAACTGTGAAAGTTTTCATAATGACAAAAGTTACGTTGTTCTTTACTGCAGCAGAAGTTGAGCCAGGTTAGCTTTTTACAAGACCTTGAATTTTTTGGTACATGCCAACATAGTGGTCTCATTAGAATGAAGCAGGCTGTGTTAATTTTTGTTGCAGTGCTAATGTACGCAGCACAGACTTGTACTATGACCGTGCACATAGAAAATGTGACTTCTAGATTGCTGCATTAACAGTTAGACTGGACAACAATCACACTGCAAAGTAGGGCTGGGCGATGTCTACCACATTGGCACATGACGATGTCAGTGAAACATTGGGATGGATGATAGTATCTTTGTTGGGGGTCCAGCGGATGTGAGCTTAAAAATGGCAGCAACAAACATGGTCGCTAAAAAGATTCCACTTTGCGTATCTGGCAGCTTGCAGTCTATCTGGTAGATAAATTGTTACTTTTTAAGCACACTATGAATGCCATTAGCACTGCTGCAAACCCATGGGGGTGCTTTTAAACCATGATGTTGGGCTTCAGTGGTGAATGACTGACAGACCAGAGCTAAGGGTTAAAGACATAACCATGGCCTAAGGATTCCTTTCCTGGACCCATGATGCACCTGTCTTTGCAAGTGAGCTACACATACAAGGAGGTCTGTTGTGTCAAGTCTCTGCAGAGGTCAGTCTACTCTTTAAACTTTGCAGCCCTGCTTAGTTACCCCCAAGGAGATTTGACAGTACAACTACAAAGTCAACCATTCATGTTTTCGTCCAAGGTGTTCAGGAACCAGCTACTGTTGAGGTTCTGACAACAGTTAAGGTACCCCAGAAGAAGTATGGAGTCCCCTCTTCAGAACCCAACCCAGAGACTCGAATACCAAGACTTGAGGCCTGTTTCCACCGCAGGAACTTCGGGGTAATTTTACAGGGCCGGGGCCGTTGGTGCGTGTCTCCACTGCAGGAACCACCCCCGAAGGACAGAGTTCCGGAAATTTTGCGGGGGATAAAAAAGTCCCTGTCTCGGAGTAGGTACTCAGAACGGCCCCAAAAGACTCCTGGCTGGGGCTTGGGGTTTACTTGGTGCTGATTGGATATACTCAAGGAGGGATGTGACGTCAACAGAAAGCAACAAAATAGCCGCCATTTTTAAAACTCAGCAGACGAGGGTTAGCTCGTTCATATAGCTTCCGCCGCCATGTAAAAAAACTCACTAAATGGCCCATGAAAAAAAAATTTTTCCCAGCGGATATCTTAGTTACAACATGATTGAGCTAGCAAAGCAGTTTTGTGTTAATATGCGTGGTATTTATTCAGTTTTGGGAAATCACGAAAGCATCAGCTGACAGGGACAGCTCACAACAGCAGCAAAGCTAACATCAGGACGTCATCTGTTAAAAGCCTCCCGCTGTCAGATACAACATGAAACTACTCCAGTTAGCTCAATCATGTTGTAACTAAGACATCCGCTGGAAAAAAAAAAAATTTCACGGGCCATTTAGTGAGTTATTACAGACACCGCTATCGGCTAACAGCTAACGCCGTCTCTACGTCACCCCGGTCAAAATGGTCGCGAAACGATTATGTCACACCCAGAGCCCGTAACTTTACAACCTTCCTCGTACTCCGCTCTCTCAGTGAAGACACGGCGGTTGAGAGGGCCGAGCGAGAAGACGTTCCTGTAGTAGTTCCTGCCCCCCAAATAGTACCAGGAACTTCTTCAGTGGAAACGGGCCTTTGGACTAATCAAGAGACAGTACCAGGAACCATTTCATATGACAATGCACAGCTCCTGGAGGTTATGGGGGGCACCAGAATACCTCAACCGCAATGAGTTTGTAACTGCCTGGTAAGCGTGTGTTAGGTGTTACAACAGTTTAAATATAATTTAAAGCTAAGGTACATAACTTTTGTCTCCCCCCTCTGGCAATGAGAGTAATTACATAAACACTATCAACATGTGCTTATAACATATTCTTGCACCCCTTGCTGCATTTCCCCCGTCCCCACATACAGATGAAGCATTGAGAAAACAAAACAAAAAGCAGTGCCAAACAGAATAAGATGATAAAAAACAAACAAATCTAATGCAAAATTTACAAATAATTTTTATTGCACCTATACGGTAAAGTTGGCATAATCACCCAAGACCAAAATTCCAGTACACTGAAAAACACAGAAAGCTTTCCCTGGCAGCGACAGCTCAAACAGCATTGTGTGAACTTATTTGGCAAGGGCTTGAGTGCAACGGACGTTCATATTTTATGTCTAACACGGGTGATAAATACAATGCAGCAATTTCTGTGTTCAAGAACACACATAGGGCTACTACTATCGCATCATGAGCATGTACCCCTGAGGTCCAATGATGCCAAGTGAGTATTTACAGAGACAGAGTGAATACAGGAAACAGACTGTAAGTGTTTTGTGTTTGACCAGACACAGAGAGGAGTGAGAGGAGTAAGAGGAGGAGGCAAGGAGCAAACACAGCTGTGAAGATGGGAGTGATACTTCAACTGAGGGGATCAAAGGTGACTGACTCTCCCTGTGCCAATAATGGCTGTCATCTTCCTTCCTCTTTCTCTCCACAGAGGCTAACACTGGCTCCAGCCCTGGGGGAAAAGTCCATCCACTTATTGACCAGGCCACTGAATTGGCCTGACATCACTCCTCCAGTCGCAGGAGCCTTCATCTCTACTGGCCCTCTTTTTGTGCAGGCTTGGACTATGGCCCCTGGCACCCCGAGGGCAACTGTCACTTCAATGGGACAACAGCCAGAGAAGGCCAGGCACACATGGCAACACTCTCAGGGGCTATTATGCCTCCAGTGCCCCTTTCTGGGTTCATCCTCTCCCCTTCATCTTCTCAAGATGAGGTTAAAGAAAGGCCTCGTTTAAACTGTTGTGACTGAAGGTCCATAGCTGAGACATAATCAACTAATGGTGACACGTTAAATGTTTTGCTTTTGATGTTTGCATGTCAGAGGGAAGGAGCTTTGCAATTTTAAATTCCAACCACATTGAATACACAGCTGAAAACACACTACTGGGCACAATTACTGCCTGGCTGTATGACTTCATATATTTTGCAGGAAAAACTGTGTCTGACAATGACACCAATGTGCCCTAACCCTCACCCCGACACGCAACCTTGCGGCACATGTTAAGACCTTAATTTATATTTCCATCTGACAAAATGGACGTCTTGAGTGAGTAAGCAGGAAGAGTAAAAGGCTTACTAAACCAAACAAGTGAGTCATTTCACCACCACAGTGCTATGGGCATCGCGTGCCTTTCACAAGCTGCTGCGCTAGTTCAGAAGTCCAGGTTAGAGAGACACAGTAGTGAGGATGAGTTGTGCTTCAGGCTCAGGGGTCACACAACAGATGTCCTAACACTTCTGTGACATCAAGTCTGATCAGCATCAGACAAATAATGCTGTAGCCTTATGTGTAAACACTGAATCACTAATTTGCACTCACACAGTTTGTGTGTCTATGTTGTGCCAACCTTTATGGTCAGTCTGATTACATTGTAGTATTATCAGTCAGCAGCAAATTCACATAAAGAAAAGCTGTTTGATGTTTTAATGACAGAGCACAATGACATTAGCAAAACAACACAGTACAGTAACAACTTCATTCTGAAAAGATTTTAATTATAAGATATGATTAAGACTAGAAGTCTTTATTTGTCAACCATAGTTGAGGAGATAAGTGAAACTTATGATCAGAATAGTCACTCTTATGACTCTTAGGGACCATACACATGCCGCGTTTTTTGCGCCCTCAACAAATTTACTGTTTTCAATGTAGCCATGTGGCAGGCGCAATCAACACCAGAGCGATGCCTTTCGAGGCATGCACGTGTTTCTGAGCACCTATTTTTCAGGGTGCAATGGCTGCGCACCAAGATAAACCGAGTTCAACTTTTGGAACACAGCAGCGTGCACCACGTCATGTGACGAGGAACAACCAATCACAGCGGACAGATATTTTTCCCTTCTTCCATAAATATCAGTCTGTGGTAAATACGGAAAAGTTGATCATTTTGGTGCAGAGCTGTCAGAGCTTTTCATCTGTCCCACGTACGATATGCCCACACATAATCAGTGCCTGGAAGAAGATCAGCTCTGCACTCAGGGTTTGAGGTAAATAGGCTATGATATGGTGACTGTTAAGGCTGCTTAGCAACCTCAGATGCAACCTGCCACCACGCTCTTGAAAGCTGGCTCAAAAAAGGCACAAAAGCGCCCAGTGGCCGACGTTGCATTTTCCAGGTGGTTAAAGACGCAGCATGTCTACGGCCCCTCACTCATACTGGGCTCACTTCTATAATGAATTAATTAAGGAAAACAAGCTACTGCCTGTTTTCCTGGTGACTGCCTGGAGCACCCTTGAGGACCCCTGGAGGTCTGCGGAGCCCTGGTTGAGAACCACCGACTTAGACTGACACTTTGTTGTTGTGCTGCTCCTAAAAAGTGGGCAGTTACTTACAGAGAGAGGCAACTTTTTGGCCATCACAGTTGTTCTTCCCACTTCAATGACAAACATGATCTCACTAATAGAACACAGACTTACAATGATTTTAAGATCGTCTGTTGGTGGATGTGATGTCCATCTCAACATCCCCTTCATAACGTACCGTATCATAACTCCAATTTACTTGTTTCCCGAATTCTTGTGGTGGAATCCATGTTTACAGAAGCAGCATAAACTAATTACAAAATCAGAGGGGTTGAAAGAGGGGCAAAGAAATTCTGAATTATACGATAGCTGGGGCTAGATAGATGAGGGAAAAAAATAAAGACACGCAAATGTACAGTGAGCCTGTTGTCAGCTTGATACCCAGTGACTGAAGTGAACCACATGACAGGACTACAGCTGAGTCAAAATATAACGTGAAAAACACAGCTCCATTGTATCTGTCGAAGAAAAACAACATTCTTTGGTGATATGAATGTGTTTAGGAGCTAGAGAAGCCGCACATTAACACCACAGCGTAGGCCAAAGGATAAATTTAGCTGTATGACTATGCCGCTGTTTTTCTGTTGTGGTTTTCACATTCTTTTTTTTTGAAATAGAAAAAAATTTAAAAAATAAAACAATCATATGCTATTTATTCTCCACGCGAGATGGATAGTAAAAACAAAATGTACCATAATAAAAGACATTTGTCGTGTAATATACAAAGCAGACAATAACCAGGAGGCCTGAATCGCATGCCAGTTGATTTTCTCTGGCCTTACACAATTTGAGCAGCAAAAGCTTTATAGTGGTAATGATGTCCAGGAGGAGGGAACTGAGCCATGGTGGTGGTGCTGTGGATCCTACACTTCTCTTTCATCTGCCCAATCATGACAAACAATAAAACAATAGTCTAACTGTTTCAGAAGCGCTGCCACTGGCCTGCCTCTGCAGCTTTGTGTAGCTCTGTAAAACATGGCTCGATGTTCTGATGTCCTATCCAGTGCAAACACAGGTGAGCGTTTGAATAAAACCAGATGCTCTCCCTCCGCAGCAATTCTGCTTTATAGCTTTTTGACAGTGTAATGTCAAAAGGATTAGGATAGATACTCAACTTTCCTCAAAACAACATGTGATTGAAACATGAGAAAAACCTTAGAGGAACTGCCAGCACAGTGTCTGAAAAACCGCTCTGACGTCCAATTCGTTTTAGACTCTACAGAGTGAGCTCTAGCATGCTTCGTTTGTCAAAAAAAATATATACATACAAATCTGAAAAATTAAAACGCTGTGAAAGAGAAGTAGACTTACAAGATAAATCCAGTCTGACCTCTGTCCTAAATACTCCTGCTACTGTGTATCAGCCCTTTCATGTTCTTATCACAGAAAAGCAGTGGAAGATGGACTCTGGCTGGTTAGAAACGCCCAGTGGGATGCTAATAGGAATGGGAAGAATGTCTGTAGCACAGCAGCTGAGGCCGTAGATGGCTCTGGCTCTATATGAAATCTCTGCAAGTGAGTGCAATGAAAATTTGTATGTGCTTAAATCAAAATGAGTTATATAGGCAACCTATTAAAAGTGCAATGGGTACACTAATCTGTAGCAAATTTTTTTCTGCAAGTATTTATGACAACACAGTCAAGGAAGTCTTTGCAAGAATTTATGCACTGCCTGTCCTGCTGCCTCTTGGTATCCAGCATCAACCCTCATCTGCACTGCTCCCAGTGAAAAATGACTTGATGCTTTTGAGAAGGGCTTATCTCTACTGAATCTGCATGATGCACTACTTCTGTCAGTCTTGTCTACTCTGTCCATGAGGCTTTGCCACTATTTCAATACCAGCCATCAAGGCCATGGACATGCAGGTGCCACCTCCTGGGCCTCTACGGCTTACAGACCACTTTACAGACAACAGACATCACGACTGGAGCCTGGCTGCATTAAGGTTCTCATCTCTGGCTTTTTTAACCAGATCAGAGAGAAAACAGATGCTCTCCTATGGAATCCCCTCAGCGGACGATATGTTGGCAGCAAGCAGGGGCCGACTCTGGGCCCAGCTGCGGAGCAACGAGTAAAATCTTGTTTTGCACCCAGTGTAGAGGCGTGAAGGACAGAACAGCCAGCTTCTCTGGTATGCAGACGTTGAGAGCCACAGAGGCACAAGGGAGCTTCGTGGAGCAGTGTGAGGTTTGGTGGAGCAGCTGTGTTCTCGGCTGCACTCTCCAATATCACTGTGTCACCAATGCCCCATTGAGAGGAAGTTGATACCATTTCCCCGGAGATCCAGAAACCGCTACTGACAGATGATATTCCTAGACCTGCCCCGACTGATCACGATTTTATAAAGAACATTCTGCATGCATATATTAATGAAGTGATGCTGGGCGACTGGTTCACCACAGCAGATCTGAAGGTACTTACTTTAATGCTCTTATGTTGCAGACAGTGTAAATTTTAAGTGACAGCCTGCAAATGCTAAAGATTGCTGCTCTGCTCCTATGTAGTACTGTTTCAAAGTCTGTGGACAGAGCAGCTTGAGCCACTGTGGCGAAAACCAGTAACCACATTCCCCCCTATTCTCTATCACAACATTATTTCCGCTTCACCAATCACAGGATGGTAAATTTGATCCCTTGCACCTGCAACTGCAAATTACCTTTATTAAAAACAAATAGACACCTCTCTACTACTGTACTTTTCCCAATGTAAACAAAACAAAAACTCACAAACCAAGGCAATCTCTCCTGATTAAAAGTGGCCCTGAACAGCACACGGTTCACTGTGTTCTGCTCATCTTTACGTTGGCACAGGCGTGAAAGGGGAGCTTGCATGCTCGCATTCCACCACAAAGCCCAATACACAGAGCGCATCTGACAAATATGCAGATTGATACTGATATCCCCAGTGGTGCATGACTTTCAGTAAACTTTATGGTGCTTCAGGACCAGGTAGGGCCAGAGAGGGGGAGTGACGAGAGAGACAGACCAAGAGACGGAGGAAAGGACGGGTAAGGGGGGCGGGGAGGCGGCACCGAGGACAAACACTTTGAAATCTGACCGAGGCTTCAACAACAGTGCCCTCTCTTTATACAGAGTGACAGAGATACATTAGCCAAACAAATCAGTCCGAGCTGAGACTCCATTTAGAGCCATGAGACCAGAGCATTAAGCCCTGTTGTTTAAGAAGCCACACTGACTGATTCACATCACACAATTTATGTGCTCAGGAATTTCGCTAATGATTTCTTTTTTAGAAAGTTAAAGTCCTGGATGAAGATCACAGAGCTAACCTCAAACATTCATTGTAAATATGTCTACTTAAAAGGCCTCCACAGAGACTTCTAGTCCCACAATCCAAAAGCCAAGGTCACCAACAGACTACATACCAAACAAGACAGCAAGCACAGGTGGTGCAGGAGCAAAATTCCTGCCTCCAACCACAGGGACCTGAGGTTTGGCATGGTTGTGGCCTCCAGTGACACCAAAACCTTCAGTATTTGTAGGAGGGTAGACAGGGAGGGATTATTTGCCAGGGGAATAAGGAATGGAATCTGGTGGAGATAGCATGGACCTGTCTCTACTGTACATACTCTCCCTCAAGTCAACAGTGGAGCTAGGAGGGACAGGGCCTACAGTTTCTCAGGGATTCTGACTTTACAAACTAGAAGGAAAAACACAGCAAACAAAAGTTGAAAAATATCTGCAGGTGGAGAAAACTAGAACTAGAGTCTTTTTTAATGATTTTGTTCTGATTAACATTATTTATCCTGGAAAATATGATGTAAAACAGTTGTGATAAAAGTCAAATCTATGCAAAAAGGGAGACAAAATAGTGCCCAAAAATTAAAAAAATGGTCAGATCTAATGTCAAGCCTGTGGCATTGGTTAGTGATGCATAAGTATCATACAGTACGTTTTATTAAATCTATAATATGATCTTAAACTAATGCCTACACTGTCTCAAAGTTTTGCTAATGAGGTAAGGGTAGTTATAATCCTAACTCAAGTGTATTTGAAACTCATTACAGTACATTCTGCTTGTCGAGCTAACTGGGAAGCTTACCTTTGCTTTGCTATCCTGGGCAGACATGTAGCCGACACACATGCTCTCTGTGGTGTGACTCCATAGGAACTCCACTGTGAAAATACACAGATAAAAAAGGTTTATTACAAAATGAACAGGAAAAATAAATGACCACAAATATACATTTACATAATATAAAAATAATATAAATAAAAAGAACACAGGGACAGAGCAAAGGTGTGGGGAGAGAACAGCTTGTTATAAAACTAAAGTTCAGTTTCACAAAATGAACAAAAATCAAGAGTTTTCCATCTGCAGGAGGAAAAAGTCTAGCAGGTGACTCAGCATGGCAAGCTGCAGTAAACTCTGAGCATGCCCATTTCCGTGAAAATATATGACTTGCAGTTATGACATAACTGCAGAGGAAGGTAGAACTTGTGAGCTGGAGAAGAAATTACAGCACCCAAAGGAAGTGGCTGACATACTGTTAATTCTTGTAAATCAACACAGAGCCCTTTGCAGACCACAGTAATCTGAGGTAGTCCACACTGTGCACAAGGGCTACGCTCCATAAACAGCATCAAACAGGGCCTGTACATCACTAAGTATGTGGTACTTTGGAGCATTTCATTATTCATTATTCATAGATCATGTTTAAAGTATCACAAAAGGCAAAGGGCAACATTAAACCTAGTCATGTGGCCTAAACTTTGGACGGACCTCTGATTAGGTTAAATTCAATGATGGTAGGTTTGCAAAAATAAAGCTCAGAAGCTCCAGGTAGAGAAATCAGATCCGCCAATACAATCAGCCAAACTAGGCAGTATTCAGAAGGCCTCCACTTATCTGAAGATTAGCTGATTCCATAGTGGGAGGTCTCTGTTTGAATCTGAGATGAAGGGTGTGAAACCAGAGCCTGATTGTGCAAGTTAAAACACGGACCACCCGCAAGGAAAGCTACAGAGCCTCCTCCCACCCTCCTCCCATCTATCTGATGATGGATTTTTAAATATTAACAGCCAAAAATCTCTGCTGCGGCATAGATGTTTGGGTGCGATCACTCTTGAAACGATTAATGTCTTACCCAGTATACCCTGAATATTTTGAGATGGTTGAGCTTCCACACATCTGCAGCAGCGCAAGACAATTACTCCACCCAGAACACGGTCTTCACTGGCGAGAAAGGGTGAGCCTGGACACACAAAGAAAACACCACACATGAGATGACTAAATGAAGCGTAAACATGGTACAAAAAAAATTGACAAGTTTCTCCTCAATCAACAAAGTCTCTTGTGTACTTTTAGGTCTCCACCCTAACACTTTGAACCAAGGATAACACATGAGAGAACCAGACAAAACACAGCCTTTTTTAATTGAATTAAGGTGATCTATGAGAAAAAAAATCCTTCCATTCAAGTTCTCTGCCCTCCTGGCCAAGTTAAACAACTGAAAGCAATTATTCAGATGTATTTATTTTATTTAGCAGACTGTTAAATAAAAAAAATAAAAAATAAAAAATTTCACTCAATTTGCATGGGCAGGTTTTTAAGCACATAATAGGTTAATGACAGGTAGTGTAATTTTCCCCACACTTCATTCAGTCCTGTACCAAAATATTTCATTTAAAGAAAAAACTCCCAGCTGCATAACTCTCAAAGACTCTTGAGCTTACTTTCAAAAAACAAAAAAAATCTATCGTTTGGACTGAGAACCTCTCTCGCTCCCTGAATAAACTTCAAAAAAGCCAACTTGAATGAGGTGTTGTGTATACAAAAAAAAAAAAAACTTGGATTGGCTGATTAGTGAGAGGCAATAAAAGAAAAAAGGAATTTGGAAAAGCACAAACTAAAAACAGCTCCAGTGTGTCTCAAAACGTCTCAACACAGCAACAAGAAAAAAAAACAAAAGGGGGCAATTGGTGCATTTGATGAAAATATTTTGGTGTCTGCATGCCTTTGTTTCTTTGTTGCATTTCACACTGATTTTGGTTCCATGTCGTAATGTTCCCCTTCACTCTATAAAACACTTTTGAGCGCAGCTTGGACGCCATTCACACAAAATCCTGGTATTTGTTGTACATTTTATAAAAAAGGCTCTTAAATTAATTTTGTTACACGCTCCATAATAAGTCTGACATCTCTGCATGTTGTACACATGAGAGAGGGTCAATCATTGCCTTAATGCTCACCATTATTTTACCCATAACAATAAAAGAAGAATAAACTACCAGGATTTTAGTATTTTTGAGAGGGAGAGGTGGTGTATGACACAAAGGGATCTAAAAATACTGATGGTGTTGTCATTAAAGATATTCTATTTAGAGAACCTGACAAATGTATGGTGAAGTTGAGTGAGAGGCCTCCACATCACAGACACTGTCATCATTGCTCTTGCTAAGGCAGGATTTATGGAGCTTCGTTTGACTTAATGTGCATCTTGAAAGGAAACAGCAGAAGAATTAACTTCAAATTGACTTCATCCAGCCCGTCCAAACGTCTCGGTGTTACAGATGTCCACGACAAAGCCAAACTGGGACTGACTTCTAAAGGAGGCCAAAGCAAGGCAGAAACCGCCACATGTTTCCACATGTCCTCTCCTCCTCTGCTCTGTCTTCTCTGAGCTATCCCAGTGGTCATTCACAGACGCAGCAAACACAGTTAACAAGGCTTTCTAAAACTGACCACTTCTGAGAATATGGCAACAAAAATTACATCCTCACATGAACTTTCGACAAAACAGCTGTGTCTTCCAAAATTATCTGCGGCTGTCAGCTATGATGTGTGGAACATTTGAAGTGTTTAAAGTGAAAACGATACATAAATCAAAAGCCGTCTCCTCTGATTCTATTATTTCCAATGTTTCCAGTTGTGAGCTCATTCCTCATGTTATGCAACATCTGTTTGTTAGCTTAATTCTCTCTGTGCATAATTGTGTTTCTCGCAAACACGTTCTTGGCTAACAAATCTGTGTGTATGGAAAAGGAGATGGAGTCGGGCTACATGTGGGTGACTCACTGATGAACTTGTTTTGCATAGCCTCCAGCAGTGCTTGGTGGGCATCTTCAGACTGCATGGCAGCAGAGCATTCCCGTGCCAGCATGGTGCGAATCAGATGCTCTCCACAGCCTGGCAAAAGACACACAGACACAGCTGAGCCTGTATCATTAACTTGCATTAACTCATTTCTTTGTTGCAAGGCTGCGTGCCTTCAATCAGAATTGCACAAGGTCTCCAGTGAGTTCACTTTGAGAGAGTTGTAGCACATGAAGTACAAAACCACTTACGTCAAAGCATCCGAAGCACATTGAAAAAATCTGACTTTTCAAACATGCGTATGGTATTAATCACATATTGATATTTCACATCTTGAAGTTTAAGTGAATTCTGAAGAGATCAATATGTACGTGCATTTCCTGATTACCATTTGTAATACTATGCTTTGATATTCAAAACTTGTCAAAATGATCACATTTTCCTAATAGATCTGATTATTAAGTTACATAATGGAAAATATTGCAAAAGTAAGATTATTTTTTTAGATTGCACAAAAGATTTAGTGATGCCACAGTCATTTTAGCACATTCTCAGCAGTGTGATGACATTAAGCTTTATTATTTCAGATAAATATGACAGCACCTTGCTCAAGGGCACACTGACAGTAATTGCTGAGGGAGCCTTTGTGTTTCTTGTACAGTTTTCCCTACCCAGATTCCCAGCTGGTCTGGGAATTTGAAACAGCAACCACCCAGTATAAATTCCACCTCTGTAAACTCTGAGCTTTGGCTGGCTCAGTGCATAACTACAGTATGTGCATGCATACTTGCAGCATGTATCACCATTACACATCTATGCATCAGTTTTATGTTAACAGGCTTTTAGTTTCCAGAGATAATTTTCTAGAATTTAGTTCAGCTTAAATGGCCAAACAAAAATAGTATAGAAACTTACAATTAACAGTTTTACCTGTAAGGGCTGTGACACACATTTCCTACAGTTCACAGAAACAAAACTCCTATGTAGAAATCTAAATAAAATCAGATAAATGCTAGAAAGAAAGCATTCTGTTAAGTATTTATACAAACCAGGATCTATAAAAACCATGGTCAGCCCGTCTCACCTTACCCTCTACCACTTTCAAGTCAAAACATAGCAGGTGTACTTTTTTATATCTTATGCTTCTTACTGTTTGAAGGACCTGGTTGTTTGAAAAAAGACAGATATTAAATGCATGCTGCATACGTAAAATATGATCTTGATCTTTCCTATATGTGAAGTCTGCCCGCACTCAGGAAAAAGACAAGAAATGTGAAAGTGAAAACACATCTGGCAAAAGCTCCTGTGAAACCCCATAAAGACTGAAGAATATAGCCTTGTTGTTTCTGTAAACACAAATGAAGGCCTCGTAAAATATCAGGTAACTACAACAAAACCGAATGCAGGTCGGTAACTGTGGAGACCAAATGCCTGCAGCAATTTGAAGTTCTTTTTTTAATGAGAGCATAACGTCAGATTGGCCAGGTACTGTGCCTTTTGTACTGTGTTTACCGTAAACCGCTCTGTCCCAGGGGGAATGAGATATTATGGCAGCACAAACACAGTTGAACTGGAACTGCAGCGAGACGCCCAGACGAAAGCAACTCAACAGAAGAGAAATGTAGAAAGGTACGAGGCCAACAATGTGAGAAACAGTATGTGACAGTCAGCAGCAGCGAGAGTAAACAGTCAAGTTGGTGATCTGTTCTCTCATGGGCCACAGCAAAGTGAAGGCCAGACGAAGCAGTCAACGCATATAAAACAATGACCCACATGAGCTGCATATTACAAAACAGACTAGAATGGGGGGTGGATGGAGGGAAGAAAGAGTGACATATAGGGTTGAGGACCGTGCTCCTTGAGTCAGAATGAAAATGATTGTTTTTCTCTTTCTTTTGATGGGAATGCCTTTCATGTTAGGAAATTAAAAACAGGTGTCGTACTGGAACACACATTATGTTCTCCATACCCATACGGAAAGCTTTTTTTTTTAAGCAACATCAAAGGCAAAGCCACAATATAGGAGGACAGGATGAGGTAGAAATACATACAGAGCAAACATCTATACTTCATCTACTGGGATAAATGATGAGCAGCAGACTATTATCAAGATTGAGTTCTTATACTGTTTGTTTAATATAATAAATACAAGACAGATCAGTCGAAATGGGCCGGACGATTTATAATCTTTAAGCTGCAGACTACAAGTGACGGACCTTTAATACCAAGCTGTCGTCATGTGGGATACAAATGTACAGAACATAGTTAAAATCATTATTTACCTCTGAGGCTATGTTCAAAAGCAGTACATAAAGTAATAAAAACCTTCATGATGCTAATATATCTAAAAAAACTGAAGTTATGATTACAAGGCAAAGTCCAAAGAATTGTTTAGACTCAATATAAGTGCTTTTGTTGTTACACTACCCTAAACTTCTCACCGATAGCTAGTTATAATGTATTCAGACAAGCTTTAGCGGTGCAAAACGCTGGCTATCTCAGTGCTCTGAGTACTATGTGACTCAAGCTTCAGCCTGTCTGATCAAATCAGCTCGTCTGCACTGACATGCATTAGGCTACAGATCCACATCAAAAGGTTTTAATGTTCCCCAGAAGCTATGTCGCAGACGTCTACACATCTTAAAGAAGTGGGCTAATACAGCCCCTCGACCTCACATTCACAACCATACAGCTCACAGCCAGCAATGTTGCTTTCAGCTAAAAGATGCATGCACTCTCCTTTTTGGGAAACACTAAAGCACACTTGTATACGTTGTGTAAATATGTTCAAGAAGAATGCGAGTTGTTTTTGAAATGGCAGATTGGTCCTGAAAGGCAAGGATGTCTTTGTCCAATAGAGTTTGTGTATGAGTTTAAACCCTAAAGAGCCAGCGCTTCAGGAGATACCCTCACTGTGCCTGTGTGCTGTCAGCAGACAATGGGCACAAGCAGTGAGGTGGTTGCTATAGTTTCTCTATATGCATACATGCATTTTTATTTTGTCTAGAAGTGTCAACAGTCCCAAAGCAGGGTTTTTAAATTTAGAATTACCCTCAGAATTTTCTTCCCTGTCTGCTTTCGGTGTGAATCTTAGACTTTTAGGCCATTCTCATCAGGCTGATAAAAGACTTAAATATAAGAGGTCACACTGAGTGTTGCAGGGATTTTATTATCTTAAGCAGTCCCTGCAGTCTTTCCATCATTAAATATCCATTTTAAATCATTGTTATCAATCAATCAATTTTATTTATAAAGCCCAATATCACAAACCACAATTTGCTTCAGAGGGCTTTACATCATACGACAGCCCTCTGTCCTTTGGACTCTCACAGTGGATAAGGAAAAACTAAAAGAAAAACTTTAACGGGGAAAAAATGGTAGAAACCTCAGGAAGAGCAACTGAGGAGGGATCCCTCTATGTGTGCCAAATGTGATATGACAACATGAACTGTCTAAATAGCTCTGATTTCCTGTGATAAACTACTGACAAGGTTTATCAGATTGTCAAACCTTTAATCTTGATGACCTGCTAACCACAATGGGAACTTGCACGATTGCCAGCTGGAGTAGTTTAGATTTCCACCTCTGCATGAATTGCAGAAGGAAGGAAGGAATGAAGGAAGGAAGCAAGGAAGGAAGAAAGAAAGAAAAAGAAAGACAGGACAAGCAGCACATAACAGGTGACAACTATAAATCATTTCCATGGTATGAAGTCTCTGAGGGACTATGAGGAGTGTCAGAAACTGTCTACAAAGAAATTAACGAGTGCAGAAGATCTGAGTTGTATTGCTCTTAATGCACATGCAGATATTTGAAGTTTTAATAGTGCAGTATTGAAAATAACATGAAATGCAGAATCCAAGTTGAAAAGAACTTTGGTGTATTTAGAGAAAACATTCAATAAGTTCCATACTTTTCACTTTGTATTGGCAGAAGCATATTTTAATCTGTCTTTTCCAAGCAAAGAATTTGTTGACTGTCTACTGCAGCAGAGAACAGAGAATTTTGATATCGGGAATATAAAATAAAATCTGCATTAAGATTAATAGTTTTAAAAATTGAGTTTTCAGTTAATCACTGTTGGACCTAATTAGTTAAAGCTCGTCAAAGGATAGAGCTTATGACTGTGCATAACTCACATGCAAAATGAAAACCTGGAAGGATCAATACTTGATCCTTTTTGCATGTGATGTACTATAAGCTAAATTATTTTTGAAATATCATAAAAGGTAAGTAATACATATTAAACAAAAAAAGCTCATTTTCTTAGAGCATACATGCACAAGTCTTTATTTTTTAACATAAAGATAAATACATGAATTTTGTAACAAAATGATTTTAGAAACAAAAAATGTTGCATTTACTTTGCATTAGGAATTAACTACCAGGTTTAATACCACTCATTTAGATAAGCACAGTTATTATCTGAAACTAGATAACTGCGCTTGAGGTGTGTACATGTATTATCTTTCTGCTGCACTTCCAGTAGTTCTCTCCATCATGTCTGCAGCAGGTGTCTCATGTCAAATGTCATTTCAAAGCTCTGCAATGCACCTGGCATGCAGCTGACTAAGAGAGAGCTGAGAATGATGACTCAATCAGCTGAGGAAGTGACTGATGAGAGTCAGTCAGCAGGCATGGTTGGAGGTCATCGGAAAGTATTATCAGGCTTTGTGAAGCTTGACTCACCGAGGCTAAATAAGAGGCTCACATCAAATATCTGTTTCTGATTCATATCATCTCCAAAACAAAAGGCAGGCTGGTGGTAAGCATTAATGGTAAGGGGAAAAGAAAGGGAACACACACATATACACAACTGCGGTGTAGGTTGTAGAGAGTGCGCTGTGGTATACCTGAGGTACTCACTGCTGTAGAGTAAGGGTTCATGTTACAGGCATTTTCAGCCCAGCAGCCACATCCATAATGAGCAGCCTGAGAAGAGAGAGGGACAGAGCACGTTTTAGATACAAAGGAGAATCACTTTGCTTTGCTCACGGCCAAATGTAAGAATTTAAAACTAACGCTGCAGGCTGGGGTGGACATTTCAGCCTAATTCACATTTCCACATCATTAACTACACTAGAATAACATGGCATACTCAGGACTCTACTGCTCTGAGCTTGAGGTTTTTAGTGTTGATGAGGTTAAGGCAGTAAATCCTACTGATTCATTCATTCTGTTCCCATTGTAAAGTTGTTTTTTTCCTGTTAAGATGCTGTTCATGCAAACTCATAACTTCCTGCAGCTTCCTCAAAGTAAAAGACTTCCAGCACGGAAATGTTTTACTGCAATTTGCTGGGTTCACTTTGACATTAAAGAATGGGGCACAGGAAATGAGGATGATCAGAGTGTCTTCTTCAGTAGGTCACCTCATTAATTAAGGTCTCTGCATTAAGAAGCAAAACTTTAGATCTATTAATTAAATCAAACAACAGTGATGCCGGATTGAGGCAGACGCAAATGGAGGGGATCAAAATGCCGGGGGGCTTCTTTGGTAACAAAGACTCCTATCTGCTGCTTTCAGACTTTCTAAGGCTGGATTGACAAGTTAATTTTTGGTCACTAGGCAGCATAAATACTCCAAAACACGCAGACAGATTGATTTGATTCTTTTGACTAAATGAACTGATACATTTAAAAACAATGCTGATTCCTTCCTATGGAGTCTACATTTAAAAATAAATGTCCAGTAAATTTCTGTCAGCCTGGTGCAGAAATTTTGGCTGGCTGCTGTCCTCTTAGCTCCTCATGAGGTGCTGCTGACTGACAGACAGCTGGTTGTTGGGACGGAGACAGGCGAATAGAGTTCAGAGTCACTGCGGATCAAACTGACAGAACGCTACTGCAGCTTTTTTGGTGAAAATGACTGCAAAAAAACACATTCAGGAACTGTGAGATGGCATCATAAAGAATGTGTGGGCTGTCAAACCAAAACAATGAGCTAAAAGAGGTTAAAAATCCCAGTAGTGTTGGGTATTAAGTCCCTGTAGGTTTCTTAATAACTTTCTCATAAAACACAAAGTCATTTAATTGACTGTTAATACAAATACGACTGATTAAAGTCATTCTCAGCAGCACTTTGTCTATTTGGTGCATTGTGCTCAGGTTATTCTCCAACTGGTTTAGGGCAGAGCTGAGCAACCTTTACCATCACAACTGCAAATAAAATAATCAAAACATCTTTCCAGAGTCGTAAATCATGTTTTAGCCATATAATGTAGGTAACACAGCCTATTAAGTCTAAATTAGCCTCTCACCATAACAAATAGGTAAAAATACAAGGTGGCTACTATGCATTGGGTTATTTATGATTTTTTGGTACTTTAACCTTGTGGCGTTGGTGGTAAAAGCAAACAAATCTGTCTACACGTTGCTGAATTCTCTATTTTCCCCCCGAGACTTGGATTTGGAATCAATAGCTAGCCTAGCCAGGAAGACTAAAGATTAGATATCGTGATTGATATTCAACAAGTTTTACAGTAAAAGGGACCAGGTCATAGATGTATGACGCACATTTTGGTTGACAAAATGTTAAAACATGTTTTTTTTAATACCATGTATGGGCTGTATATTTTTTTTTATTTATGGGAAAATGAAAAAAATCACTTAAGCCTACAACAATGATAAATGAAAATTTAAATGTTAAAAAATAACCATTATTGATTTATAGATACTTTTTTGTCAAAGGCAAAGGCAGCCACTGGTGAGGGGCTACAGAGCCACATGCAGCTCCTGAGCCGCAGGTTGCCTATAGATGGTCCACCTTAGGTTTAGGTAATTTAAGCAGGGAAAAATCTGTTTTTGTTTTCAGGCTGCTTTATTCACAGCAACATAACACACAAACTACATGTACAGTACAGGCCAAAAGTTTGGACACACCTTCTCATTCAATGCGTTTTCTTTATTTTCATGACTATTTACATTGTAGATTCTCACTGAAGGCATCAAAACTATGAATGAACACATGTGGAGTTATGTACTTAACAAAAAAAGGTGAAATAACTGAAAACATGTTTTATATTCTAATTTCTTCAAAATAGCCACCCTTTGCTCTGATTACTGCTTTGCACACTCTTGGCATTCTCTCCATGAGCTTCAAGAGGTAGTCACCTGAAATGGTTTCCACTTCACAGGTGTGCCTTATCAGGGTTAATTAGTGGAATTTCTTGCTTTATCAATTTGGGACCATCAGTTGTGTTGTGCAGAAGTCAGGTTAATACACAGCCGACAGCCCTATTGGACAACTGTTAAAATTCATATTATGGCAAGAACCAATCAGCTAACTAAAGAAAAACCAGTGGCCATCATTACTTTAAGAAATGAAGGTCAGTCAGTCTGGAAAATTGCAAAAACTTTAAATGTGTCCCCAAGTGGAGTCGCAAAAACCATCAAGCGCTACAACGAAACTGGCACACATGAGGACCGACCCAGGAAAGGAAGACCAAGAGTCACCTCTGCTTCTGAGGATAAGTTCATCCGAGTCACCAGCCTCAGAAATGGCAAGTTAACAGCAGCTCAGATCAGAGACCAGATGAATGCCACACAGAGTTCTAGCAGCAGACCCATCTCTAGAACAACTGTTAAGAGGAGACTGCGCCAATCAGGCCTTCATGGTCAAATAGCTGCTAGGAAACCACTGCTAAGGAGAGGCAACAAGCAGAAGAGATTTGTTTGGGCCAAGAAACACAAGGAATGGACATTAGACCAGTGGAAATCTGTGCTTTGGTCTGATGAGTCCAAATTTGAGATCTTTGGTTCCAACCGCCGTGTCTTTGTGAGACGCAGAAAAGGTGAACGGATGGATTCCACATGCCTGGTTCCCACTGTGAAGCATGGAGGAGGAGGTGTGATGGTGTGGGGGTGTTTTGCTGGTGACACTGTTGGGGATTTATTCAAAATTGAAGGCACACTGAACCAGCATGGCTACCACAGCATCCTGCAGCGACATGCCATCCCATCCGGTTTGCGTTTAGTTGGACGATCATTTATTTTTCAACAGGACAATGACCCCAAACACACCTCCAGGCTGTGTAAGGGCTATTTGACCAAGAAGGAGAGTGATGGAGTGCTGCGGCAGATGACCTGGCCTCCACAGTCACCGGACCTGAACCCAATCGAGATGGTTTGGGGTGAGCTGGACCGCAGAGTGAAGGCAAAGGGGCCAACAAGTGCTAAACACCTCTGGGAACTCCTTCAAGACTGCTGGAAAACCATTTCAGGTGACTACCTCTTGAAGCTCATGGAGAGAATGCCAAGAGTGTGCAAAGCAGTAATCAGAGCAAAGGGTGGCTATTTTGAAGAAACTATAATATAAAACATGTTTTCAGTTATTTCACCTTTTTTTGTTAAGTACATAACTCCACATGTGTTCATTCATAGTTTTGATGCCTTCAGTGAGAATCTACAATGTAAATAGTCATGAAAATAAAGAAAACGCATTGAATGAGAAGGTGTGTCCAAACTTTTGGCCTGTACTGTAGGTGTACACTATTTAAATAGAAATTCAACATGTATCCGACTAAAACATTTACTCAAAAAGGACACTAAAAAGAAAGACCGGTCTAATAAAAGCTGTCGCAGAAAAAGGCCTGATTCAATGTTGTAAATTATATCTTTATGTAATACTTAAAGAAGCGGTTATGGGGGTAAAGACATGAACGGATGAAGAAAGGAGAAGATTGCCCGACTACCTGGCCAACCCTGCCGGGATGCTTCATGGCCAGACCTCCACTGGACACCGCTGCAGCTACATTCCCTTCCAGGTCTACCACAACGGCTCCCACCGTGTCGAGGCACCCTGAACCATTTTCCTGGATCACAATAAAGAGAGGAGTCACATGAACAGAAAAAAAACACACATATATACAAATTGACATGTTCAAATGAGAACTGATCTCATTTTAGGCAACATAAGGAGGAGAAATCCGATCATTCACATTCTGAAGCAGAGACATCATCTTTGACTGAGGACATTTCCAAAATTAATGTAATGCATGAATTTATGAATCACTCTTCCTTGCCCTTCATATTTCATCAAAAATGTGCTGTTGTGATTTCAATCGGCTGTTTTTTTTCTTCCCTGATTGCAGTTTGCTTTGGAAGTGACTTGTTTGTGAACCATCATGACTCAGACGGCATGATAAATAGACTCCTACAGGGTAAATGTGCAAAATGGCATTATGATACATGATCAGAGCTCCACTTCTACCAGAAACTTAACATCTTCATTGAACCCTGGACTGAAAGGCAGAGTAAAAAAAAAAGGCTACAGTGTTTCTCGTCTGTCTCATGCTCTCCTAAATCAGCCCTGTCTCTGAGCTTTTGAGGCCAAAAAGAACCAGAGCCAACTGTTGCAAAATGCTACAAAAGACCATCCTGTCATTCCTTATCAGTGTCCTTGAGTGAAAAAATCCACAGTAAATAATGACTGTAAAACTTCAGGGCATCTTTGGGATTATATGGAAATGCTTTAGATTTTCCTAAACAACACTGCAACTATACACCATCATGAGACAGGTGCCTATACTGCACAGAAAAAAATAAGACTGGAAAGATTTTATGGCTTGGCAAAAAGACAGAGGCATAAAAGGAACACTATGTATGCAAATTAAAACCAGACTTGCTACAATGATGCTTTGTGTTGAACCCATAAGTCTCTAATAGCCATGATACAAAAGGAGGTTATTTCCTGTTAATTGGCTTTATATGTCAATGGCAGAGTGAAAAGGTTGATGCCAAATTCATGTAAAATGACCTAAAACTCTGACAATGGTATGCATGTGAACAGTCACAGTCTGAGTATCAGTCATGGTCAAATCGCGGTAGCTTAACTGCACCAAATGGTCACATAATAATCTTTTATAGGTCGAGCAGTTTTGTGTAAACGTGTAGGAGACAGATGAGGATAGAGGGCAACTCAAACCTTGAACTCTCATTAGGCTAACAAGCTGTTTGACACAAAAATCTATCACTTAATCATATATCACTTGCCTCGGTCAACAAACAGTCATCTTAGTTGTTAATCTTTCTTCTTGTGGATATATCATTAATACTGAGGATTGATTTAACTGAACTAAATAAACAATAACAGCATTCAAAAACAGGTCTAATGAAGCGTATGGGGCTGTGGCTGTTTACACGTTTTACTCCATTTAACACAGTTCACATCTGAACCAAGATAAACTCTCCCACCCTCTTCTGTGCTGCTGCCACTGCCGGTGACGTTAGAGCAGAATGAGTCTGCTTTCTTTCTACTCAGCTCATCATCCAGCCACTCTTTGGTTGTGCTGCTCAGGGCACTGAAACTTTGCACTTACTCTTGTCAACACTTTAATTGTTTCTGGGAACCCTCTGTGCAACCTGGTAATGTCATTTCCTTTAACGACCCTGTGAGAATGTGAGATCATAACTGGCAGAACGGATCTTGATGTCTTAGTTGTGTAGCATCATTAAACTGCTTTCTTGTATAAAATACCAAATTGTACTTGATGTTTCCTGCCTTCTTTAAGATGCAGTTTAATGTCTTGCATAACTAGCAGTTTGGAATGTGGAGTAGGCTGCAAGTATACTGAAACTGACTTGAGGATCACACGTTCATGTTGCGTTTGAGTATGTGTGACTCTCTTGTGATTTTCTATAAAGTATAAAAGCATGCTTATACCGTTGCTACTGCTGATCTCTCCTACGTTTGACCCAAATCAGTCTTTGTGTAATAATTCTTGGGAGTTAAATTATTGTTTTAATTTAAATATAACGGCACAGTTTGATCAAAGTGAAGCACAGCTCATTTTGTCAGTTCATTAGACCTCATTGCAGCACCACGTGCAGGCACAGTATCACTTTGTCCCTCTCAAGGAAGTACCACCCATGAGATGGTACAGTCATGTTACGTTTGTGGTGATTTACATGGATTTTTATTGGCTTATCAACAATTGATTTCTGAGCCTTGTTTAATATTTGAATGTAGCCCAAGCAGGGAAAGTTTCAGGTTTCATCTGACAGGCCAAAATATGTGGTGGAAGGCCAGATTTGGCCCTTAGGCTGCTATTTGCCAACCAATTTTTTATTACAGATTTTGTTAAGTGCAAATGATGCTCGTGTTCAGGTGGTTAGATGGTTAGCATCTGTGAAACGGAGGAAAAAAAGGTTGTTCGCTGTAAGTAATACAGCTATAAAATCTGCAGAAAGGAGTGAGTCCATTCTGACTCGAGTGATGCAGCTGAGAAAGAATACACTTGACGCCATTTAAATAATTTATGGTATCTTAACTGATGACATAGCACTTACATTTTCACTTGATTGTCGTCTTTTCTTGGCCTGATTATGTCCCGTGTCCATTTTTTCTGCCAGCTCCATTTTTCGCTTGTTCCTCTTGTATGCAGATAAACTGAACTCTGTGTGTGGAAAGAAATCTCATAATAAATCCATATAAGTGAATGCACTTCTTTCAATGGCTGTTTTAAAGTACTGTGTTTTGGTTAAGATTTGCAGCTACAGAAAATCAGTTTCTTAGATGAGTGGTTCCCAACTGGTCCACCACGGGATCCAGATTTGTCCTTAGTCATTACTTCCAAGGTCCACACAGTTTCAAATATTCAGCGTCACACTTCTCTGCTCAGTAACTGTCTGTTACTCACTCTACAGCAGGAAACGGCACCTCAAAATAAAAGCTCTGTACTGGATAATCACTGTACTTCAAAACAAAGTGTCTTTATTACAAACTTGACACTTGTCCACTTGGATCGCAACCCACCAGTTGGGAACCATTGTCTTAGATGAAGCATGTTTCTGATTCGGTGCAATATAACTCACTGGTGGCCATTTTCTCTGAGGGGCATGGTGGTATTCCATGACTGACTGCCCAGTCGTGTGCTCCTCGCCCCACTAAAAAGCTGACAAAAGAACACAAATTAACAAGTGGATACTGTCACATTAATACAACAATAATTAATAACCATTATAATCACCAGGGTGGTATTCTGCCAGCTGATAGTTTCCCTTTCTGTGCTTCACTCAGTAGACGGTTTGCAACTAAGACTGGGTTCTTAATACCTGAAGGAAAAGTCAGAATCATCACAGGGCTAGCAGTTCATTCTACTTAATTTTTTACAGTGTGAACAAATCCAGATACTTTACAAACACACATAGTAATCCTTGATTCAAATCAAGCTTAGTTATACAGGTGGACCAAATATGGTTTTGATTTTTGTCATATCTGTGTTGAATTTCTGTGTATTGTTAAAATTTGTTCTGTTATTTTTCACATGGCATCTATTCACTTAGTTTACTGTCCATTTCCTTATTTTGCCATCGTCCCACAAGCACACCTAGGCAATCTGGGTTGCTTTCAGACTATTCTAACCTCATGAAAAACACAGGTTGGCAGGTATGCATTTCTATATCGAAGCCAGCAAAGTTTAAGTCATCATGTACAAATAATGTGGAAAACTATTACATGATGCAGATGTAGTGATTAAAACAATCTGTTGTCTTTTGGACATCATGTTAACTGCCACCCCTGGGCGGTTATTTGGAATAAATCATGAGTCCTTGCAAAAAAAATTGCTTTTATTTAAAGCCTTCAAGGAAAACTATCTGCGTATGCGGATGTGTACATATTAACAGCATTTTCTGGTTGTTCTCCAGGTAAAAAGTGGATGCCCCCCCACTGTTTATGAACCTCTAAAACATCTGAAATGGTAGAATGTAAATCAGTAAAACATAAAACATAGAGGCTTCACTAATTGCCGTTACTTCCAGGTGACTGAACTTCAGGGCCACAACAACACATCAGCATTACATGAATACCACTACGTGCGTAATAACTCACCACTGATAGCCCCTACGGCGCCGTAATGCAGCGACTTCCCATCCATGATACTGGCATCACATTCAATTTCCCCTGACAAATTAAGGTTGGAGCCCATGCCCGCGTTTGTAAAAGGAGAGTCCTGAGAACAATTAAAAACATGCAAAGTCTAGAATAAAACTCTATTTTGCAATGAACCTTATTGTCAGTGTTAATATGCTGAAGGAAAGTCATTCTATCTTTTTATACAGCTTAACCAAGAAAAAAATGTCACTCTTTCTTATGGTCCAAAGTCCTGGTGTAATGGAAATAATTTCAAACAAGACAAGAATCAATATCTATTCTCGTTTAAATTTTCAAATCAGCAGCTTATGTAATGGCCCTGCTGACTGTACTGCATTTAAAGACTTTAAACACTGCTTTGAAACAGCCTGATCAAAGGAAAACCACTATTATCACCGAGTGAAAATCAAATACAGGATGAGGTTTAAAGCAAGACAATTAACAATATGTTACAACGTCATTAAAATTGCAGCTGGTGGACTACTCTCCGTAACACAATAACAACCCTGTTGCCACTTATGTTATCAGTCTGGGACTGTAATGGTGACACTGATTGGCTGTTTAGCTAATGCTCCTCTGTTCTGTGATAGCATCTTATTATGATGCTTCATTTTTGCATTATGCTTGAACTGTTTTCTAATGACCAGATGATGGCTCCAACTTTCTGACTTCTCCTGATTTGTATGCATGTATACAGTACACGGCTCTTCTTTGCTGCACTACATTTTTTACATGTACATTTGTGCAGCTGCAGAGAGTTCATCAGAGTCACTGTTCTTTATTCCAAACCTGTCCTAAGGAAAATCATTTCTTACATCATCTGACAGGATGTGTGTACATGTTTCGGAGGCTAGAGTGGAATAAAGCTGCTTTGGATAAACACATACACATGTCAAATTAAGTTTCATATCCTCACCTAAACTATTCTGGATGCTTTTTTTTTTTTTTTTTTTTTTAAATCCAGTCTGGGCCTAAGTATTAATTTCCTCTGAAGTGGAGTGTTGCTGCATACTGAGGTAATGACAGCTGAATAATCAAACTTGGACCAAAATCAACCAACCTCAAGTTCAACCAGTGCTGCAGCCACTGCTTCCACTGCAAGTGCCCCAGCTTTGAGTCGGTCCACGGCCTGGAAAAGACACATGCAATAAGGATTCTGGATTGAGTTAAGTGTGGCTTGTCTGCGTGTATGTGGGGAAAAGGGACACAGACAGCATGAGGTAAAAGAACCCTAAAATAAATCTGCATGGCCTAATCAAAGTGCTTCATCCAGTGGAAACTGAGCACAGCTCGTCACCCATCCAACACCATTCCTTTTGTGAAGTAAGGGTGATGGCAGCACCACGAGTTTGTTTTTCAGTCGTACAGATGTAAGGAACTTATGAGGACATAAGGAACAATGAATGAAACAGAATACAAAGACATTCTTGAGAAGAACCTGCTCTATGGTGCCAAAGAACAAAGACTTCCATTCCAACAGCAAAATGATCTTAATACAGCCAAATGAAAACTGGAATGACTTCAAAACAAAAACATTAAAGTGCTTGAGTGCTACTGCCAAAACAAAGATTGGAATCCCACTGAAAATAAATGAAATGACAGCTGTTCACAGATGCTCCCCATCCAACCTGAGCAAACAGAAAGTTGAGGAGAAAACCCCAATACCTTGCTGATCAAGCTGATAAACAAGGGTACTCTATGTGCTTTTTGAAGACATTTGATTTGCAAGCAAAAATGTATAAGAGGGACGTTTACACATATGTTAGTGTTTAGAAACTTTAAGTTACCTAATTTGTTGTCACACCAAATTGTAAGACATGAGGCAGCATTAAAACATCAAATTGGAGTACTGACCTAGTCTGTCTTTTTTTATGATCTACATTAAAGGAATACTTCACCCACAAAATGACCACTTGTAAATCAGTCATGCCTTGAATTCATGAACTTTGTTTTTCCTGCATGCCACCATGGAAAACAGCAAATATGGTGATTTATTGACAGATTGTACTTCAAGGAATACAGTGGCAAAATTTAAATTTGTCAGCTACTCATCGAGTGTTACCTTGAATTCATGAAGAAAACTTTTTTTATGCCTCAATGGTGAATGTAGAATCCAAAAAAGGCAAACATTCTACCTGAAATAAATGCACGAATGAAGTAAAGAAGGACTGTGTTTAACAACAGCAAAACTATATCGCAACATCCAGTAACAAACTCTCACACAGCTTGTGCAGTAGAGTCCATGTCTCATTTATCCAGTCATATGCTCTGCACTTCTCAAACACATGCATTTTCGCTAAAAAACCTTCATATTGGGGTGTCGGTAGCGTAGTGAATAGTGCCGGCGTCCCATGTACAGAGGCATTGCCTTGCTGCAGCGGCCACAGGTTCGAATCCGGCACGCGGCCCTTTGCCGCATGTCAGTCCCCACTCTCTCTCTCTCTCTCTCTGTCTCCCATTTCACTCTCTGTCCTGTCATTAAAGGCAAAAAGCCCACAAATATAATCTTAGCATAGATAACTTTCACTTTGAGTTCATTTTTTAAGTAGTAACCTTTTGGCGAAAATGTATGTGTTTGTAAAGTGCTGAGCGTACGACTGGATAAATGAGACTGTAAACTGATGTTTTTATATAGTTTTGCCGTTGTTAACGTGGTCCCTTATATATCAATAAATCAACATGTTTGCCATTTTCTTCACATATTCAAGGTATGTGATGTTACTTACAATGGTCATTTTGTGGGTGAGTATTCCTTAAAAGATCCAGCTCTGAGTCTTATAGATCTAATGATGAGCTGGCACTTCTACAACTAAAATTACATTCAAATATAATAACGCAGCACCATTCTTACAAGCAAGCCCTGAAAAGCTACTTAAATTGCTAATCAATGTCAATCTGTTCTGTTGCTTGGCATTCAGAAACTAGTGCCAAGTGCCAAAATATCTGGACTGACCTAACATTCCACTAAGAATATGACCAATTGTGTGTACAAACAGTTTACAATCGTAATACCCTTATGGAAAACTTACTCGCTGGCAGGCTCTTTTGCACACATGCTTGTACTCCTTGGCCTTAGATTCAGAATGGTATCCTGCTCCTGAAAGCAAACAATAGGAAAAAGGTGTGTGATCATTTATACGGCGATGATGAAAGTGATGACCTCCACTAAGCGGAAAACTATACTGGGATGCACATAAGCCTGTTGGTGCTTTGAAAACCATACTACTATGATGATATACTGCTTACGATTCCTTTCTAATAAACACTCTTATTATTCATTTATCTTTATTTAGTCAGGAAAATCCTTATGGAGATGTCAGAAATTCTCAATTACAAGAGTGCCCTGGCAAAGACAAGCAACAGCATATTAAAACAAAGTGGCAGACATACAACATATAACAGTTACATATTTTAAGATTTCAAAATCGCAACATGGTTAAACCAAAATTCAGGTCATCATATTTTGGATCACATCGAGGGCAATAGCTCAGTCAAAGCATCTACAACCTGATGCAACTTCCTCCAACTCCTTTTTGTTTTTTTAAACATTTGGAGAGACCAGCTTCCCTACACCCAAATCAGTCTGCAGCAAACTCCAAGCTGCAGGAGCAGCATACTTAAAAGCCCATGTTCCCATTTCAAGATGGACATTGAGGACAGCTAAAAAAAGTGAGCCTTAATTCTACCTGTTTATCATGATGTGCGCACTTACCTGCATGCACTAAAACAAATCCGCCAACATGCTTTGGCTTCTGATTCTTGCTTGATTCCTGTTTTGTGGACCATGAGTTGGCCAGGGGAGAGGAGGGTTGCTGCTCTTCAGCAGAATTCATTAGATTTTCCATAACCCCTGCATAACTTGACAAGCCGATCATGGCCTACCAGACAGTGGTAAGAAAATCATTTTCATGGAACACCTGTGACAAGAAAATAAACACAAACATTGTCATTCAGGGATAATATAGGACAACACGATTTAATGTCTTTGACAGATAACTGAAGTGTAAAGAACCTGTTGCAAAGCAGTATGGTGGTTAACAGCTATGCACCACTGTGACCACAAAGCACTGGCACAAAGGGGGCACTACACAGGTTATTGCTTGGATCAACACTACAACAGAAGCTGATTTCACTAAAAATAAATTATGAAGTAATGAATCTGCACATGCTCAGTCATCTCAGCACATGCATTTATCACTAATCAACTTCAGCTACCATTCACCAGTATAACTGGTCTGACAGTGGTGGAGAACAAATAACACATACTCAAGTACTAACTCGAGCACAAATGCTATGTGAGTAACATCAGCCATCAAGCTAATGTTATCTAAAGCCATGCTATCCATAGTCCAGATCCACAACACCACAGATGAAAGCTTGCACGTAACATAAAGCTATGATCCATCTCGTTAACCTAATTTGACGTATATCAACTTTCCAAACTGCCCCTGCTGTTAATGCATCGTTACGCATGTCAGTTTAAAATTTGCCTTATTAAACAAGCTTTATTTTGTTCTTTACATTTATGTTTAATTGATTCAGAAAGATAGTACATTAAAAACAAGTAAGTTATTTCAAGTTAAGCTAACAGCCCTGTGTTTTCGTTAGCTTGTTAGCTAACAGCTCGCTAACACACACCAACAAAACAACCTCAACTTACAATTTCCCCTCCTCTCCTACCAGCGATAGACCTGCCTGCTAACCACGACGTCGCCCGACATGTGTTTAATACATATAAACGGCAGCTGGACCCATAAATCTCGCAGAGACAAACTTTGCTGCCACTCACTTCCACTCCTCTGTGCTAACCGCAGCTAGTTAGCTAGAGCATACAAAAGTACTTCCTGGTTCAGATACACGTTGCTAAGGAAGTGCGTTGAGTGCAAACATTGCAACACGTGGATGGAGCGAAGCTGCACAAAATAAGAGGTGGGTATGACTGCAGAGGAGAGAAAGTAGAACAAAATACATTTGCAAATGCATTTTTTATCGCGGACTTGCATACATAAAATACACACACAAAATTGCGAATTTATTGTGTGGAAAAAACACGTAAATCATGAATCTGAAACAGTCTATGACCTAAAACATGAATCAGAAATATACATTTGTGAGGTTATATTACAACTTGCAACTGGAAATCATCATCATCAGTGCATATCTTACATAACAAACAAGCAAAAAACAACAACAAGACAACAGTTTGTTTATTAATGATTGAACGTTTACATTTTTATTATTTTATTAAATTAAATACTAGGCCTAATAATAAAATAATTCTTTGAAATAATTTAAATGATAATCTAATAATATTATTAATTAATATTGAATTGGTGAGCTATACATTTTTTTTTTCATCTTCTGAGGTCTTGACTAAATCCTCATGTGGTTCTAATGTGATTCTCACACTCTTATCAGACAATCCTTGACCAGAACAAGCTTTAACATGCATTAATATTAACTAAACTATCATAAAAAGGTCAGTCACCCAAATGACCAACATATGTTTTCTCTTTTACCCCTCCTGGAATCTAGTCATGTAGATATTTTTGGTTTTATTTGGCCAGCTTTTTCTCTCACTGAGATTTCTGCCCCCTCTCCAATACAATGGAGGTGAGTGAATACAATATGTGATTGTAGTGCTCACAGCATAATTACATTTTTTATTTTTATTTTTTTTTACACCACGTCTTTCCAGAAAGTATGCCCCGGCTAATCCAGACTCTTTGATGTGAACAGTTTGCATTGGAGCCAGTATTTTTATTTTTTTTGGCAAACTATTGTAGCCTACAATTGTCCTTTGTTTCATTTGCTATTGTTTTTTGTTTTGTTTTTTTAACAAACTATAACCACCAGTGTCATTGTGTCTTCTTTTTACATGATTCACGGTGTCAGTGTACGAGACATGGATCTGTTGCTGTGTTGTTTGTGTTACACTATTGTCTGTAAAGCAAATTGCTCCTTGGGGATATTAAAGTTTTTTTAATCTTGAATCTTGAATCTTGAATTTTGAATCTTGAATCAATCTAATACATAGTCAGTGGCAATAAACATATTGTTCCAGGCTGTTTGGATAAGTAAGCAATTCCTAAATAAGTGGGGACTTGTCAGTGGCATAAGGAAGTGCACTAGTGCACGCTATCGTGCATGTGTTGTCTTGAAACAAATAGAGACTTGACGTTGGACATCATCAACATACATTACCCAGCAGTCATCATTGCATATCTGAAAAAAAAAATCAGAGAAAGTAGGAAAATAATCATTTAATTGAATAGTTTTTATAGTGTATTTATATATTTTGTACTTATATAGAAATAAGTGTATAATTTTGTTTTGGATAGCTACTGAGTATTTAAAAAAAGAAACCATGATGCAGATGGGTTCACCTTTTTGAGGACGTATATAGCAATGACACTGTTTTTAAACTATACTGTAGATTTTTTTAAGATTTATCTTTGAACACAGGGAGGTGGAAATCTGATTCACTTGCAAGGGCAGTTCTCTCTATGGGCTCCTCCACCCCAGGGGCCCCAGTGCAGTTGCACTGCCTGCACTGGGACTTGTCATGGTTGATTTCTAGCTGTAGTATAGAGCTGGTTGTGCTAGCTTCATATTGAAGTTTGACTGGGTGAGAGGATATTTCTAAATCCCTCTACCTGTCACTGTCACAACAATATGACAACATGAAATAATGCCCTCATGGTCAGTTTTCCATGTGAAAAATATCTCAGTAACACCTGCTGACCTGCTGCAAAAGCATGTACACTTGCTGGAGAGGCCTGCAAAAAAAGTTTATTATCCCAAATCCTATCCTAAAGAAAATCAAATACAGAGAAATTAATGTTATTACAGTTTAATTTTACTAGTTGTCAGCCATAATACTTCATTGACTTGTGATGTTTGAAATAAAGAGTAGTTACATTGACTGATTGTGTGTAAATTTAATTGCACAGTTGTCAGTTACGCTTACTGACCAAATAATTTCTAATAAAGCTGTGACTGTGATGGCAGCTGTACAACTTTATTTAAACACCACCACAGTATTCTTTCACAGCAGATGTTTCTTCTAGCAGGAAGCACATATGTCCAGCTAATTTCCTTAATAACAGCTCAGCTCCATTAGGTGTCTAAGGAGGCATACCAGTGAGACAGCATACAGAATATCAGGACTGTGAGACTGACTCACCTAAATGGTGAAAACAAGACCGTTTTTGATTCTGACATGGTGTAGCATCAAAAACTGAGAACTTTAAATGTTTGAAATTAAAAACTTGGCTGGTTTGAGTCCGGCTTCATTGCATGGCATCCTTCTTTCTCTTTGTCTCTGTGTGTTCCCTGTCCGTTAACACTCACAAACAGTCAGATAGCAGTGTTCCTCCCACCAAATTCTACTGTAACGCTGTTTGAGAGGAAGAAAAAATACACCACCAGAAGAAAAAGAGCCCTAGAAAGGCACTGCCAGCTGTTTGTCAGGATGTTAAAAGTGGGCACAACTTTCCTTGACACTTTATTCAAATTTTCTTTAATCACTGCATCTCATTTGCAGCAGACTGTGTCACTACAACTTCTGACAATGTGACAGTGTTCCTCTTCAGTTGTGTTTTGCTGCACATTCTTGGATAAATTCCAAGTTGTGTGTCAGGTTAGACAACAGAGACCTTTTAATCAGTGGCCGTCTTTCACTCAAGAGATTTTTTTTTTTTTGTGCAAGTTTAGGTCCCACAGCTTCGAATCAAGTCTGCAATGATAACTTTGCTCTCTCCAGAATAGTTGTGGGGCGGTAGGGAAAAGAATAGGATGTGCTTTACCCATGATATGGCCATTCTGACTTTTTTTTTGGCTGAGCCTGTCAGGCAGCTGATAATTAAACCCTGAAGAAAAACATCCAGTTCTTGCCTCGGTGTGAAGAATGACTCAGTATTGCTTTAGACACGGAGAAATACGCAGCCTTCTTGATTAAAATTAGCTGTTAGAATTTAGAAAAGTTCATAAGCCAGTCATTGCCATGCAGTTAAAGCTTTCTAGCAATGTTCCTCTGTCAGCTTTGCACATGAAAGATGATTTATCATCACAGTCAGTTCAAAAAAGAAGTGAACTGCAAGGGGTATAATACATATAAGTTCTCAGTAATGGTGGGGATATGCAAAGATTATTGCTCCCTTAGGAAGTTCTTTTTATGTTTAAGACATAAAATTGCTATTTGAATAAACTGAACATCTTTCACTGACATCCTGTGTTATACTTTCAGACTATCATAATTCCTATCTCAGAGACTGTAATAACAGACAGTTTGAGTTACTCATCTGTACCACATTTAGAGATATAAGGATAACAAAATGCAATAAAGTAATACAAAAAAATATGTATTCAGCTCATAACACCCAGTCATTTAAATTCAACACCAGTCCAATATCATTACTGCTCTCAAACAAGCGCTTTAATGTTTATGGTCCAAGCAAAAGTTGTATGGGTGGACCAAAACAAGCACATTCTTTAATCATAATGCGCAGCGTAATGTTGTTTTCTTTGGATCGAGTCAACAGAGATGAAAGAGTGCTGTTGAGCAATTAATGAGGAGAGAGCTGGGACCAGGGTGCAGAGTGCTGAAGAGGGGCCAGCTAGCCTTTAGGGGGCAGCTTGCCATCAAATGTCTGTGTAAACTTCTGCTCGCTGTTGTTGAAAACTGCCAGTCCAGTTTTAACAAATGTGTTATCTGTTGTGACTACAAAGAATCAATTCATTTGAGGCCTCCTCTGCATCTTTATCCTGAGTCATATATTCACATTCGCACAGGCTTTTTTGTGAGCTAGGCCATCGTTAAATGGCTCCATCATCCCCTTTAAAATCAAATACATCAACATTTTACTTTTAGAGTGCAATTTATCTTGATATTTTAAAGACCTTTGTAATCATACCCTTATCATACTGGAGCGCTTCAAGTAAAATTGGACAGATTGCTGTTGAAGCTTTGGGTTATTGTTTTGTGTTGTATTGTTGTGTTATGGCAGGGATAGGAGGTCACAAGCAGAAAATCAGAGGTCAGGAATCTTGCAGACTCCTGCAGCGTTGAGCGTGAGCAATATAGTTTCTGCAATAGCATTTTTCCTGTGGAGTGTCGTCTCTCCGAAAATATTCTGCTCTATCATCTGGCAGACATGGTAGATGTTCATTCGGATGACTAATGCTGCACTGTGAATATTTGCATGGTCAGAGTGTGAAGTTTGAACAGTATGCACCATTTGAGGTCGGCATATTTGCAATTTCATTATGCTTGCATAATGACAGAAGAAGTTCTTGAGTCTTGAGGGAACACATGATATTTTGAATTGTCTCAGAACACTGCGGTACAATATCAAAGAGATTTCACTTTGCAGCCTGAAAAAAGTTTTATAGGAAGAAATTATTGTCATGTGGTAAAAAGGAAATGTAGAGCAACAGACCAAGTATATGAGCAGAGTAATCTTGCAAAGAAAATTGTTGATACATAGAAGCCATAACAGTTTGGATCAGTACTGTGCATATGCTTTGAACATCTGAACATGCCGAACATCTATCCACACTAAATCTATTCAACTTGGGTTCAGCCAGCGATCAGGAAGGAATTCCTGCTGCTTTGAGCAGGCAGCGAGCAGGCACGTTCTGGTGTGAAGAGACATGCTGGATGGGGGCTTTATCAAATAGAGTAAAATAAACAGAGGGAGCCGTTGCAACACATTTTGCCAAAGCTACAACCCACAGGAATCCTGCAGGAAAAGAATACTCACAGTGTGATGCTTTTTTAATCCAACCCCAAACCCATTCTAAGGATGTAGACTAAAC